GCGGTACACTAACAGAATCCCTATTCTGTCCCGGTCACCCACCTTCAGGTAGACACATTCAAAATTAGTTGACTGCGGGATGGGGCCTCTGGTCAGGGGAATGGAATTCTTATAGACAACCGCAACTCCGCCTCCCCGCCCTCCAGGTCTCGACTGGTACTGTACGGAGAAGCCTGGTGGACAGAGCTGGGTCAAATTTACTCCTCCGGCTTCGTCCAACCAGGTCTCCGTAATGCACGCCAGATCTGCCCGCTCCTCCAGAATTATATCTTGGATGAAAGATGTTTTTCCGTTGACAGATATCATAAAGATCAAGTAGACAGAAAATATTGTAAAGAACAAAAATAACTTTCTGGCCTTGCACCGCACATTTTGGTGCAAATATTAAGACACAAATAGTGTTCAATTCAGCAAGTATTGCAGAATGTCATGCCACAGTCCACTTCAAGCTGCAAAAACAATCCTTTGTTGGATTACAACCTTCATTTTTTAAAATTTGATATGGATTTGCTATCTTTTCTACCTCACTGCCTTAGGTGTCGGGCCTATAAAATTTGGATATTGTGAAACATTAAAAAAACAGAGCTTTCCCAAATGGAGATATCAGGTTGGAAGACAGCACCCTGATGGATTTTTTTTGCTTGCCCTGCAGCTTTTAAAGCCCACCTGAAAAAAAGGTGTCACTTCTACATTACCATTAACCACCACGGAGTCTGACATGAAACCAGTTTGAGTAACAAATGAAATCATTTCCTTTTCCAGAAATTTGATTTCTATTTGTCATTATTGTCTAAGACATTATCAACACCACCTGTCACATACCAGATGCCCACATGTGTAGTGCTTAGAAAACTACCAACCTAAGTATGGACACCGTGAAACAGCAATGCAAGAGATTTCCCCACAAAGATCTATTCCACTGGAAAAAAAATTACTTTGAATTGGCTTGCTAGCATCAGACAGCAAAACATAGAAAAAGTTAATTTTTGAACTATTGCTCTTGGAATCCCCAACCAGTATAGCAGATTGCATATCAAACCCGTTTCTGTAGAGGGCTAGTCACAAAGCCAAGCACCCCATACCCCAAACTGCAATCACCTGGGACTCTGCTCACATGGTTTTTAATGCAAATATGACACTTTTTTCGTGTCAGGAGCAACTTGAGAAACTGCAAGTCGCTTCTGGTGTAAGAGAATTGGACGCTGCTCAGGGGACACCCGGATGTTTGATACTTTACCATTCTATGGGAGGCTCCTCTCATGTCCCCGAATGGGGACAGAGGGAGCTTAACCCACTGATCATGTAATATCAAGTGCACTTTGATGCCAATTTGAATTACTATAATCCCCCACGACAGGAAATAAATGTATATATAGAGAAATTGATCATTTTTACTGTTGCTATGTGCCTTCAGGTCAATTTGAGTTATGGTGATCTTCTCCTAGGGTTTTCTTGGCAAAATATATTCAGCTTGCCTTTGCCATCTCCTTAGGCTGAGAGAACGTGTCCTGCTCAAAGTCATCCCATGGATTTCCCAGGCCAAGCAGAGATTCAAACTCCATCATTTTTATGGCAATTTCAAAATATTGCTCTTTAAAGTCTTCATCATATGTTGTCACCATAATGACATCTGAACTATGTGTGTGGAGGGGGACAGACATAATTCACCAGCATTCCCAACAAGAAAAAAAGAAAGAAAAATCCACAGAACTTTTACAATTTGCAAAAAAATAATTTATTAAGGTCAAACCGATTTGACATTTTCCCAAAATAGACAGAGCAGAAGGGCCTAAAGGGGGTGGGAGCTGATAGAGCTGAGGGGGTTGTCATTCATCAAATGTAGTTGTTTCATCGAGAACTGTTTGTGGCAGGCTTTGAAAGGAAAATTTTTGCAAGCAGTCAAATACAGTGTTGAGGTGGATGATTTGTAGTAACGCTTGCGACTAACCTGGCTGAAGGCTGGCAGACATCCCCAGCATTACAGAAATGGACTGAACCCACATTTTTTGCCCTAGAAGTAAAAGTTTTCCAATCCAACCCAGCTGTCAAAACCACTACTCTCACAGTCTTTCCCACCCAATGCCATCTTGACATCTTTGGCTACAAAGACTACCAATAGCCTTGCTAGCTGGGATAATATAAGTTGAATTCCTATATATTTCATGGGCCAAAAGGTTGGAGAAGGCTACTTTGAAATGTCTTCCAGGTCAATCAAGAAATCCATAGTATCTCAAACACTGAAACCAAAGCACAAGGACACTGTGCAGCTATCAAGGGACCGAATACTTATCAGACCCATTTGTAATATCCAGTATTTGAGATCTCCTGTATCACTAGTAACAAAAAGAAAGTGATTGTGTGCAAACACCCTCAGACTGAAGAAAGCCTAATTATCTAGGAAAGGAGTAGAATACAACGCATACTGATTTCATGATGAAATCAGACCATTTAAGGATCTTTCAAGAAGTATTTTCAGTGGCAAAAGAAAAGCATGAAGGTGTAGAGCTTAACGGTCAATGCTTAAACTGAGTGGGAAAGGGACAAGGACACAAAATGGATTACATTCCCAAACAAAATTCATCTCAAAAAGATTTTTTAAAAAAACACCCAGAAATTAATCCATTATGAACAGAAGAAGAGCAGAGATAAACAGCTCTGCAGGAGGAACGCAACATAATTTCAGTAAGAGACCCTTGAATTACCAAGAACACTTCAGTCGCAGCAGCCAAAACATGATTAAACATTTGCATTCATAAATAAAAATGTTCAAAAAGCTATCACTGTACATTAAGCATTCATAAAGGCAGTTTTGGAAAAGAAAGAAAAAAAAGACACCTTTCCTTCAATTTCAAATTCACAGCTACAAGAACAAATTGGGCTGAAAATTCATTGCCAAGAAGACACCTTGCAAGTATAGCTTATGGTTTTGGGGAAAGGGTTAAGGAGCTGACAGCCATTCTGAAGACCCCAAGAGATTAGTGTTACATTTCAAGATCCAAAGGATGGAAATCTCTACATCTGGGAAAGTGTCCTCTGTGCGCCTAACCCAAGAAAAGACAAAGAACAGACAGATCTTTCCCTTTATATGTGGATAGTAATGGTATATTTTTGCTTCAATTCATACTAAATGCCACATGGGGGCATAAAGAATAATATGCATCTAAAACTCCTTAAATCAGTGGTTCTCAATCTATGGGTTCCCAGATGTTTTGGCCTTCAACTCCCAGAAATCCTTATAGCTGGTAAACTGGCTGGAATTTATGTGAGTTGTTGCCCAAAATATCTGGGGACCCCCAGATTGAGAACCATTGCAATAAATGAAGACAAGCCTGTCAAGCTGATATCCTACCCTGCAAATCTGAGAATTGACTACAGATTAGAAAAGGGATTTGGGACTGCAATTCAACAGCTCTCAATCAGAGTGACCACTGGCCATGGTAGTAAGAAAATTTGAGAAGAATAACATCAGCAAGTAATTTTTTGTGCCGTGAAACTGATACTTTGACAGACCCTCTGTGTGTGTGTGTGTGTGTGTGTGTGTGTGTGTGTGTGTGTGTGAGAGAGAGAGAGAGAGAGAGAGAGAGAGAGAGCAAGATAGTGAGATGAAGAGAGAATATACACCTCATCCACAATCTCTGAAACTGATCAAGCATTCCAAGTGGACAATGAGAAAAAGTATGCCCACAAAGTCTAAGACACCAGATTTGAAGAAAGAGACCATCCAGTTCAGCCTAATGGATCGCTACTCTTATTTACCGAATGTATATGTCAGGGCTAGTCAGTAAGCAAAAAAAGAACAATCCTGAGATGACTGCCCAAAACAGCAGTCCTACAGTGATGTTTTCCTCTTCCTTAAAATTTTCTTACAATTTGCCCACATCTTAACATCAAATTGAGCACTTTCCCTACTATTATTCCAATAGCACCCGGACATGGACTAAGTTACATTTCAAGCAAAAATAAATGGAAGACGTGATGGGACTTAGATGACTTCCTGGCAACAAATTTGGAGGTCCTTACCCATCTACAACATCAGGCAGTAAGCTATCACAGAGATGAGGACAGGTAGTTACCTCCTTACTTCCCAATTCACTCCTAAAATCCCTTTAAAACCATGACACAAGTATTTAGCTTAATTTTAAGGACTCTGGTAAAAACTTGAATTGCCAGCTTTCCAGCTGAACAATGTTGGCTCTGCGCATTTCTACAAACGTAGGTTTATTTTCTCACACATTAGGCAGTTAAGAAAAGAATAAATCAAGTATGGAATGCAATTGCACTGCTGGACCCCGGAAAGTTAAATTAACATGGGTAACAATATATAGACAGGACAAATATTTAGAAATCAAATAAAAAAGCTCTGCTACAGCCATTCTTTCTAGATGCGCGTATGAAAGCTCTGGCCTGCTTCCAAGGTTTCCTGCTATGTTATGTGTAAATACAGAGCCAGGTAAGTAACCAGGAAAGCAAGCCTTTGGCACCATCCATTTGTAAAAGCCTGTGCTGGACTGACCCAAGGCCAATCTGAAGTAGTGTTTTGGAACCAAACAACACAAAGTCTTTCCTACTTTTTGCTAACAGGAGACACAAAGCAGGCTGTCAGTTTTTTCTATCTGGCAACTGTCAAGTATCCAGACACAGCATAAAGATCTCAGAAGATAACAGTACAAAGAATACAAGAGGGGCAGCTTAAATGAAGTCATCAGCAACAAGTGGTCAAGGTTTTCTTGGGCAATTCTGCTGCAGACAGCAGTTGGACACCTCAATGGCCAACCACACCACTTGCCACCTCAGGATCCACAGACAGCATTTACTTCATAAGAGGCAGTAAGACGACAATCCTGGACATGATCCTTTTCTTTCCATTTTCTTTTGCAGGGGAGAATTTCAAGATATGAGTCTCAGAACTGAAGTTCAAAAAGCTGCAGCCCAGGCTTGAAAGACTTGATGGCCATGACTACATTAACTGGCCCTGAGAACAAGAGGCAATTTTTGTAAAGGAAGGAAGGAAGGAAGGCCCTCTTCCTTCCGCATTCAGAAAGTCTTATGTTGCAGAAGGATGAAGCATCTCTTCAGATGGAATTCAGACACAAGAGATCTTGACAAGAGATCCTTTTTTGGCCTTCTTTAACCCTGCCTCCAACTTTAGTGGATATAAATAAGGACGTAAAGGTGAAGCACCAAAATCCGTCTCCTCTCAATGATCTTACTTGAGATGTCCCTTCTAATGGTCCAGAGAGGATGGGGAGGAAGAGGTTGGTTGGTTGGTTGGTCAGCCGGTCAGCCTACGCAAGCGCCTCGCCTCCAAGAGCATACTGACTTCCTTCACAAGCAAAGGAGTGATGAACACCACGGTCAGACTGATCTGTGCAAAGAATGGGAAGGAAGGACATTAAGACAGGTATATAAACCCAATTTTCCTAGTTTTCAATAGACCTCGCAACTTCTGACGATGCCTACCACAGATGCAGGTGAAACATCAGGACAGAATTCTTCTAGAACATGGCCATACAGCCCGAAAAACCTATAACAACCCAGTAAAAAGATTACCCATCCTAAAACATTTCATAGAACAATCTTAGGTCCATCCATTTACCTTCAGTAAGGTATATTTCTTCATTAAGTATGTTTAGGACTGCAGTCTCAACATGATCCCTAGTTGTGGCAAATACTGACAAGCTGACGTTTCTTTGAGGAAGAACTTTTCATTTTGGGCAGGGAGCAGTTCAAAAGGTATCACCTTGCTTTTCACACAAAGCTGGTTCGGTGTGGAACAAGTGGCCAAGTGTGAAAAACGCACCAGCCATCCAACCCGAGAGTGGAAGGAATAAACTCCAGTAAGGCAGGCAGCCATTCTTCTCACTTTGGTCACACGATTACAAATGACTCCTTCCATTAAACTGAGAAGACCCAATCTCCACATGAGAACTGCATAGGGCAAAATATTACATGGAAAAAGATGTCCCTCAAAGCTCGAGTCAATCACTCTCGGCTGGGAAAATTTGTGTTTAGGCAGAAAAATCTTAAACATGTGGCTTCCCAAGTGCTTAGAATGTGGTTAAAATCAACATCATCTTCTCTGCCCCTTGCCTCTCCCCTCTTGACACCTTCTTTCATCTGGATTATTTCAGCTATATTTCAGGCCACCTGCCTTGAGAAGAGGACTGAAATCTGCCTCTCCCTGCTGGATTTCACATGAAGCACTAAAGGCTTGGGGATAAAAGACAGGAGAAGGAAGCACATTAATTTATTTCCTCCCCGAAAAAGCCAACAGAAGGTTCATTAAAGGAAAAAGAAAAGTGAACACTAGACAGCCAATAGTAGTATAACAAATCTGAAGCTGGAAATCCTTGGCTGGACTCTAATCTGTGCTGCTAAATCACTCCTATATATAGTGGGCTCTCCATATTCACTGAAGTTAAGAAGCAAGGCCCTCACAAAAGTGAAAAAGAGGCAAGAGTAAGAAAGCCTAGTTGTTGTTTTTTACCCAACTTTTCCAGGAATTTCTAGATCCTCCAGCACAACTCTGGCCCACTGGAACTTGGCTATAGATTGCACTGGAAGATTTAGAGATTCTTAGAGAGGTGTTCTCTCTTAAGATGAAGTTGACCATAGAACTGCACTGGAAGATGTAGATATTCCTAGAGAGAACAATTTAATTAAATCTGCAAAAGACAAAGCTGCCATGTGGCATGTAAATGCACCTGAAGCTAAGCTACCAGTGAATCAAAGGGGACTTCCATATGAACCCGAACACTCAGGGTTGAACTTGGGCAACATAAGCCAAACTCTCTCAGCCTCCATCCACAAATTTTGGTTATCCAGCAGTGTTGTTTTCACAAAATGGATGGGAAGGGCTTTGAACACATCAAGTGCTAATGTAAACCTCTGACTTCCTGGTTTGGACCAGTGGATAAAGGAATGGATTGTACTTATCAGTTCAGTTGGCAGAGATAGTAAGAGATTGAGACTTGGAGGGGAGATGAGCTGTGCTTGCCAGTGAGGCCCTTGTTCCCCAGAATTACTTAAACTTAATTTAACATTCAGATTTAGGAATAGATGGGTGAGCTCCACTATGACGATGTACATTTCTAATTTGTTTTTAAACCACATAGTGATACTATGTGGTTCATGCTCTCATGAAGAACTGATTAATTTTGCCTGAAGTAAAAAAGAGGAAAAAGAAATTAAACATTGGAGTCCTTACCATGAGGATGAAGAAATAGAAATCCCACATCCATCCCAAATTCTCTTGGATTAAAGAAACCAGGTACTAAGATGAGAAAAAAAGACAGCAAGATCTGGATCATTAAAATGTAATTTTCTATCTTTTGCCTTCACATTTAGCTTGCTTTTCTTGACTGAAACAAAACTTGAATAAGGTTCCTCCTTCTCATGTAGCCACTCCTGGCATCAGAAGCTTACAACGTGCCCCATGGTTCCTGAAGGCTTGGTGGCATTATTTGTTCAGCTAACCATGGCACTCTTACAGTGTGCCTCAATGAGATTTAAAACATGAGAGAAAATCCCTGTTGCAGGCTTTCAATCATCTGTGCATATGTAAATAGGAGCAGGTACAGTTTTTAAGTGTTAACTCCAGCAAAAAAACACACAAACATATATTTTAAAAAAAGTTTTGGATAGCATAGGGAAGGGTCAACATGTGTGCCATTTGTTTTGCTGTCTGTGCTCCTGTTTAGAAGATTTCACCTTACTTTCTGTCCCTGTGAAAATTGAAATTTTAAAATTTTGGCTTGTGGAAACAAATATTAATGCTAACGCTTTAGTGAATACACCTTTCCTAATGATAGCTCTTTCAGGAGTGAATTTCCTTTCCTAGATATAGGTTTGTCTCACTTCCTGTTGTCTCAGCCCTGTTCTTAACTATGAGTCATTTGTAACTTGGGGACTCCCTGTACTCCTAAAAATAATAATGAATGGAAGTTAAGAGATACCTTTAGTGAAATGCTGTTAATGTTCTTGAAAGAAGAGTTATTGCTGACAAACCTGGGCAACATGTTTCAGCCTTTTAACAACAACAACAACAACCAGATCCTTCTGGATCCCTCTCACCTGGCCCAGAGCGGCTCCGATACTTCCAGTGCCATCCACAATCCCCGTCACGGTGGCCAGAGCTTCGCTGCTTCCCTTCACCATTTCCTGGCGCCCCAAGTCAGCAGAAATGGCAGAGCTGATCATGTTGGAAGGGCCACCAATGAAACACCCTGAGGATCACCAAAGAAGGCAGAGGGATATGAGGGCTCTGTAAACAAGGGGTACTATTTCTGAGCTGAGCTTATAAAAATAACATTTCCAAGCTACATTTCCCATGATGCACCAGAGAATAAGACTAGTGGCCATGCTATCTGGGGCATTTTTGGAAGCTACACTCCAAAACAGTTACTTTTCAAAACTGATTTTTTTTTTTTTAGACAATGCAAAATGTTAATCTCAATGTCCTATATAAATTCTGATTCACTCAAGTACTAAATTCAGATACAAATTGAACTGAATTGATGTATATTTTTTAAAAAGGGGGGGGCAATTTATGCCTTGCCAGCTTGGTTGAAAAGCACTGCTTTTAAAAAGACAGGAAAGTAGTGCCTATGATTTATCAATGGCTGCTTCACACATCCAGGAGGCATATTAAAGATGAATAGATTTTGTACATTTTTGTACATTTTGTACATTGTACAAAGCTTTTGTACATTTTGTACATTAGCAAGTGCCATAAGTACACTGGCAGGTAAATTCACGTATACACACACACAGAGTGTTTAAGCAGGAAATCTTGTCTCTCATGCAGGAAGAAGAGACCAAAGAAAATATATTATTTTGATTGCCAGAAGATCATTGCAACACACTAGACCAGTGGTTCTCAACCTGGGGTCCCCAGATGTTTTTGGCCTACAACTCCAAGAAATTCCAACCAGTTTACCAGCTGTTAGGATTTCTGGGAGTTGAAGGCCAAAAACATCTGGGAACCCCAGGTTGAGAACCACTGCACTAGACCCATCAGAGATCTTTATTCTCATACCAGTGAGGCTGAGCTTTCATCATCTGTTATGCCCCACGAAAATGGTACCACAGACCTTATTTTTTATTTCTTATATTCTTATTCTTGCCATTAAAACACACACACACATTCAAGGATGGCTAACGAAAGTCATTAAATGGTTACCTGTAAGTGCCATAAGAAATGCATTGATAGGCTTGCTGTCTGGCGAACCTGTAAGGAAAGAAATAATAAAAAGAAAATACATTGAGTTCATAATTCCTGTCTGCCACAAAGACAGGCAGACAGAAGATGTTCAAAATCCCCAAACACATATGAAGCTCACTTAATTGGATCAGTCACTATCATTTGGCTTAAACGACTTTTTGGTTATTATGGGCATAACAATTATCATGCATACTCTCCTGGGATCTTTCCAGAAAAGGTGGGATTAATATAGAGAAAATAGAGAGTAATGTAAAATAAAGAAAAATTAAGTGCCATGCTAGGAAAGGGAGAGACTGCAGGGGTGTTTTACTCTGTTTATGCCTCTACTGAATCTCTGGAATAAATTTGAAACCATTTTGATTTACTGTAACTCCTGCAGTTATCCCTTCTACCTGCCACTAACTTGTTTGGTGAATGATGATGAACTCAAGCTGGCAGACCAGCACACACAAGATCCTAAAGGCCAAGAACTGTTGCCACTGGGATGAAAAGGATGTTTCTAGTTTTATTTTCTACTGAGCATGAGCATCTGTGTATATGTAAAGAAAGGGTATCACTTTGTTCAATGTAATGGATTGAATCACACGCATATCCTCTTAGAGAAACATTTTATGCTAACCATTCAATGCTAATCAAGATGGCCCATTGCAACATTCATACCTGCCTCAAACAGACAAGAGTTCTTTCTCCCACCCTGGACATTCCAGAAATATATAAACCATGCTTGCCTCGTTTCCAACAGACCTCAAAACCTCCGAGGATGCCTGTCATAGATGTGGGCAAAACATCAGGAGAGAATGCTTCTGGAACATGGCCATGCAGCTCAGAAAACTTACAACAAACCAGTGATTCCGGCCATGAAAGCCTTCGACAACACATTAAACATTTTATTGTCAAAACAAAGCATGTCATTCCAAGGGCTCATTTCAAAAATCAGCATGAAACACAGCACACTTTGTATGCAAGTCCCCAGAAGGCTTTGGACAGCCACTGGCACAAACAGGATGCCAGAACAGATTATGATGGGCCAACCCTTGCTGGATCTGATCATTCTACCACCTCAGGACTAGCAACGCTCTCCAAACTCTGCTCTCAATCAATTCTGAGCATGACTGTAGCTACCTCCACCACCTCTTCCCCAATAGTTACATGTAGCTACGGCATGATGTGAAAGAGGACATGAAAACACAGAGGTTAAAACAATGATTAATTGTAAATATATTGTCTTAAATGTTTTTAATTGTTTTAATGTATTTTATAATTCTATTTAAATGTTTATTTTAATTGTGCATTGTTTTATGGCATCGAATAGTTGCCTATGTGTAAGCCGCCTTGAGAAAGGTGAGGTAGAAATAATAATAAACAGTAATAACAAGCTTGAGCTCACCCTACTGAACCCTGGAACCAGACAGAATACTCACGGCTGTATCCAAATAGACAAGCAACAGCCAAGATCAGGCTGCAGGCTAATACTGGTGCTCTCTTCTGCAGCATGTCAGAAATTAAGCCTTGGATGGTGCCGCCTGGAGAGGGAAAAGGAAGGCAGGGCCTTTGGGTTAGGAATGATGAGACTTGTTGCTGTTCCTGAAACATCTTAAACTCCACAATGGCAGACTAATGTCTAACAACACTCGATGCCAATTAGTTTTCAAGTAAAGTACAAAGAGTTGGTTTAGACCTTTAAAACCCTACATGGTTATGGTCTAGGTTACCTATGGAATCACCTTCTCCCATACATTCCCCCACGAACACTTAGATCCTCTGGGGGACACTTCCTCCAACCAGCCAGAACCCAGCTGGCAACCATCACCCAAAGGACCTTTTCATCGGCCACCCCAAGACTATCTGCCAGAAGAGATCGATCAGCTAGATCGACTTTGGGAATTTAGAAGACAACTGAAGACATATCTCTTTCAGCAGGCCCACCCAGTCAATTATTAACTATGAATTATAATGTATTGTCGAAGGCTTTCATGGCCGGAATCACCAGGTTGTTGTAGGTTTCTTTGGGCTATATGGCCATGTTCTAGAGGCATTCTCTCCTGACGTTTCGCCTGCATCTATGGCAAGCATCCTCAGTTAGTGAGATCACTAAATACCTCACTACCTCTGAGGATGCTTGCCACAGATGCAGGCGAAACGTCAGGAGAGAATGCCTCTAGAACATGGCCACATAGCCCGAAAAAACCTACAACAACCTATGAATTTTAAATTGTTCAGTGTATGCATATTTTACAGAAATATGCTTTAATATATGCATTTTACTGCATGTTTTTATGATATGTTTTAACTATGCTGTGCTCTGCCTTGAGCCATAAGAGAAACGTAAACAAAAAAAATATTGTTATTACTATAACATCCCTACACTAAAGTTCAGATTTTATTATTCAAAACAAGTACAGCTACTCCAAACCTGGTCTGTACAATTTCTTGGCTTTTCTAGTGGCTTCTGATCCATGATGGTGTGTAACTATGACTCTCCAGATGTTTTTGGACTGCAAGTTGTATCAGTCTAATCCAGAAAGCCACAGTTATCCATCACTTCTTACATGAAGTCCCACCCCTGTTCCTCTACTTCCTTCCCACATGTGATCCTTGAAAAATATGCCTTGACTATTGCAAAATACACAGCAAACAAGTGAAAAGGCAACACATTCTACATATTTTTGGACTACAGCTTTCATGAGCCCTGACTACAGCTACATCTGCTGGGGTCTATGGCAATGATTCTCAACCTGTGGGTCCCCAGATGTTTTAGCCTTCAACTCCCAGAAATCCTAACAGCTGGTAAACTGGCTGGGATTTCTGGGAGTTGTAGGCCAAAACACCTGGGGACCCACAGGTTGAGAACCACTGGTTATGGAAATTGGAGTCCAAAATGCCTGAAGGGTATCAGGTTGCCTGCCCCTGGAGAAAATGCAAAGTCAGTTCAGTTTAGAATTAGAAACCCTGTTCTGCTACAGCAAGTTCTGGTTTTGTCAGGTACAGCAAAACATGGGAAGGAAGACTCTTTGCTTTATATTCGTACCTATTATCCCGCCGACGTCATACCAAATGGAGAGCTGATCAGCTTCTGCCTCCTTCCACTTAAATTTGCTGCTGAGGTAGAAAGGCAGCCAGAAGAAGAAAGAGTAGTTCACGAGCTTCAAGCAAGCATACGCTAGGGAATACTGAAACAGACACCCCACCCCAAAAGCAGAAAGTCATTAGAACAGAGGCAACCTGGAAGCTGATCCAGGACAATATAAGAGGCTGGACATCAGTCTTGGATTGGAGAGGCTTGGCTTCAGATTCCTGTTCCACTCTGAGGTTGGCTAGGTAACCAACAGAATTCTCAATCAAACCTACTTCAAGACTGTGAGGAATAAAAAATGAGAAGTGCTGAACTAAGCCATCCACCCCATAATGCTTGCTGATATTTTCGTGTTATTGCAGCTGCCAGAATGAGAAAGGCTGGCTAGCTTCAGTGCAGCATAATTGAGAGTCACAAAGTAGCTGAGAGTCACAACATATGGGTCACAAGTAGCCCACAAAGTTGGTTCTGCTGCCTGCAAGTCCCTTTAGACGAATGGTTCTCAACCTGTGGTCCATGGATCACCAGTGGTCCACAATAACTAAAATATAGTCTGTGGCCTCATCGTTACTACACCACTGCAACAAGAGTGACTGGTCTCGCAAAACCCTCTTATAGTGCCGAAGCTTATTAAATATGGTTTTCTGTAGGCGAGCAGATGGCGACTACAGGATGGCATATGTTTTGTATCAGAAAATAGAGCTGATGTGATCTATTCAATGCAATTTTCTGAATCAACACCCTAAATAACCAAACCAAATCTAAAGTTGACCAAAAACTGATTCATAACCCCTAATGGTCGCTGGTCAAAGTGGTCCCTGGTCAAAAAAGGTTGGGAACCACTGCTTTAGACTTATCCCATGGCTGAAGGCCAAAAAGTTGAGTGAAAATAATAGTCTTATATTTCTAAGGCCCCTTCTACACTGCCATGTAAAATCCAGATTATCTGCTTTAAAGTGGATTATATAGCAGTGCAGACTCATATAATCCAGTTCAAAGCAAATAGCATGGATTCTCTAATGTAGGGATCCTCAAACTAAGGCCCGAGGGCCAGATATGGCCCTTCAAGGTCATTTACCCGACCCTCGCTCAGGGTCAACCTAAGTCTGAAACAAGTTGAAAGCACACAACAACAACAACAACAATCCTATCTCATCAGCCAAAAGCAGGCCCACACTTCCCATTGAAATACTAATAAATTTATATATTTGTTAAAATTGTTCTTCATTTTATTTATTGTATTGTTTTTAAGTGTTTTTTGCACTACAAATAAGATATGTGCAGTGTGCGTAGGAATTCATTCATACTTTTTTCAAATTATAATCCGGCCCTCCAACAGTTTGAGGGACTGTGACCTGGCCCTCTGTTTAAAAAGTTTGAGGACCCCTGCTCTAATGCTTTGATAATCTGAATTATATGGCACTGTAGAAGGTGCCTAAGATGCCATCTATTGGAAGATGCATACTAATTACAGTACCACCAAAAAGGGATTTTTTAAAAATATTAAAAGTACCTGCAATTCTAAGATACACCCCATTTTTAGATATATTTATATGGGGGGAGGGAAGAGTATGTCTTAGAAGTGAAAAAAATACAATAATTAAAAAAAACACTGCTCCCAGAAGACTACAGGAAAACCTAGAGAGAAGTGAAGAGCCTTGTTGTATTCTGAGAGCTTGACATTTTTCAACAGAGAGTAAATTTCTATCACTTCTCATTTTGGGGGACAATGTACAAAAAACACATCTTTAAAGGAACTTTGGCTCATGACAGGAGCCCAGTGGAGAAAAATTACCCCCCCCCCCACACACACACACACACACAAAATATACACTGTAGCCATACATCTTTATATGATAAAACGTGAAACTTGGAAGAGTGACAGTTTTGTTCTATAACTGCCTGACACTACTTGCCAGTATGAAATATTATGGGAGTTGGCCAAAACTACTCTATTTTCCCACCTTGGGGGAAAAAATCATAACAATACATGCAGCACTCACCAACATAACGCCAGGTAGGCAACATGCCTGAAAAAATCCAATGGCCTGAGGCTGGAGTTCGTTGTTGACGTTGCGACTGCTGCTACTCAAATCAGCGGCCTGAATGGAATAATTGGGATCATCATCGTCATCCTCATTTTCGTTATCGTTGCCACCGATCAATGGCTCCCTGGCACCTTCTTCACCTTTGCCATCAACCTCTTTATCGACATCAGGGAGGCCTAGGAGAACACAGACAGAGCCACAGATTGAAAACATAGGACAAAAACATCCCCCACTCCCAGTACTATCACTTCTGGGCCAACTGTTTTCCTCCCTTCTGATTCGCTCGCTTGCTCTCCTCATACCTCAAGTTCTCCTTCTTTGGATTAGAAATGCTTCTAGATGGTGCGCTGCTGAGTCGCCAGTTTTTACCCCTGGTCTTCTAGCGCATTCCAAAGTATCCTGTCTGATCCTGGAGCCGGCTTTGTCTGCTCTGTGTGTCTGGCCATTAGTTGGAAGACACAACAAATTAGTGCATTTCCCTATTTAACTGGGGCTGAACTTTTCCAACTCCAAGATCTAAAGCACCATCTGTACTGCTGGCTGCCACTCAAATCCAGAGCTTGGAAAAGGTAGTTATATAAACTACAAGTCCCAGAAACACCCAGCAAGAAGCCATTGACCAGGTAAACTGCTACACTTTTCTAGGCTCTGAACAAAACTAGGATTCTGAGATCAACCAGCAGCCTTTCTAACTGAGGACTTAAAAGGAAGACCCCCAGAGTAGGCTTACTAAAATAAAAGATAAAAGAACTCCACTTATCCAGTTGCCAAGGTCTATACAAATCTATAATTCTTTTGCAACTATTTTCAGATCCTTCTACTCCTTTCAGATATACATATCTCATGAAGATCTAATTACTTAGTTTGCCACCTGCTAACCTTGAACAGGCCCTGGGTTTGCATTTAGGAACTGCCATGAACAGGAATTCTGGGGAAAGTGTTGTCTCATTAATTTTTCTTGAGCAGGAATCCTTCTACTTGGCTTGAAAGATAGGAAGGGCCTCTCTCTTTGCTTTGCTGGAACAAAATATCATTCAGCCCTTCTAGAGGTGGCTTCTCTTAAGTCCAAAACATTCAAAGGAGCAAGTCTGAAGGCTACAGCTCATGGCAGGTGGCTATCTTATGTACTAGAACTAAATGTCAGGTGGTTGCTTGCTTTATTTACTTCAAACACTTTCACTCTGTTCTTCAGTTGGGAAAGAGCTCTCAGTACTGCCTGCAAAGATCAACACTGTATTGAAACCTACCATCCAAAAAAGTCAGGAGAGAAGGGCAGTCAGTAAGAAAAACTATGGTTTGGCTGCCACCGATTGATAGTTGGTGGCCCCACTTCCCTTCTCAACTTTATGGGAGGCTGTTACACTACCGTGCAATTAGTGACAATTACTTCTAAAAGGATACCAGGCACATTTCAAATGGATAGTTATACTTGTTGACAGCCTAGAACTAGAATGAATGCCTTTTCCATCAGAAGCCTGCCTGAATATCAAGATATTTGACACAGGAAACTTTTAATGTTCCAAACGCATTGCTAAAGGCAACAGAAAGAAGACTTTTTAGTGGCTTCATCCAAACTCTGCAGATTTCATCACTGTGCAAAAACCTTCATATAGTGAAGACTTTTGGTCATTGGTGGATTTTGTGAACTCTAATTGCAAGTTTTCACTAAGGTTCTTTTTGACTTCTGTTCTTCTGCATTTCCCTTAAAATGATACATTGCTGAGCAGATTTTTTCCAGATAAAGCTATTTCTTTCACTTTGTTTGTTGTCTCAAACCCGTTCGAAAAGTAGCAAACAAGTGCTTTAAAACAGAAGTGGGCAAATTGTGTCCCTGCACCTCCATCATTCCTAATGGCTGGTTATGTCGGCAGGAGCTGCCACCCAATAGAAGCCTACATCACCCACTCTTATATAGGATAAATAAATGGATTCTGTGCCATGCAGATTCCAAAGGACTAGAACGGATGGTTCCGGAAATGGATAAATGGTGGGCCAAGACAAAATTAACTGTTCCGGTAAAGCAATCCTGGGAATTGGGCTTTGGAAGCTGGGAAGTCAACTGAGATAGATGGAATCAGATCTATTCACTCACCTACTTCTTTGGGAGAAATCACAAGACCAAAGAAAACAATAATTCCTCCAGCAAACTGTACGGATGCTGTCACCAAAAAAGCATACTGAAAGAGAGGAAGCAGAAACAGATTTCTGTTACGTAACTCTTAGATTTCCTCATTTCAAATTAAGCAATATGTATTTCCTTTTTAAAGCATTTTGTGTCTTTGCAGGGATGGTGAAATGTAGTGGTCTCAGTGACAAATGACGATGTGGGGAGGCCACGGTTCAAATTCCTGTTCAGCCATGGAGAAAACCCACTGGATACGCCGCACTTTCTCATCCTTAGAGGAAGGCAATGTTAAATTTATTCTGAATAAATCCTCCCAAGAAAACTCAATGACAGGATCACTCTATATTGACTCGAAGGTGCATAATGACAACTTCTCTTGGATTTCATCATCGCAAATAAAGTAATGTGTGCTTCCTTCTTAAAGTGTTTTGTGTCTCTATAGGTTTAAAGGTATTCCCCTGACATTAAGTCCAGTCATGTCTGACTCGGGGGGTTGGTGCTCATCTCCATTTCTAAGCTGAAGAGCCAGCATTGTCCATAGACACCTCCAAGGTCATGTGGCTGGCATGACTGCATGGAGCACCATTACCATCCTGCCAGAGCAGTACCTGATCTACTCTAGAGTATTGATCTACTCACATTTGTCTGTTTTCGAACTGCTAGGTCGGCAGGAGCTGAGGCTAACAACAGAAGAGCTCACCCCACTCCCCTGATTTGAACCAATGACCTTTCAGTCACCAACTTCAGCAGCTCAGCGGTTTAACCCACCGTTCCACCGGGGGTTCCTTGTGTCTCTATAGGTACTTCTATACTGGAAAAATATGACTTGTTAAAAACAGCCCAATGGTTAGTGAACTAACAAGCTGTCAAAATACTTGAAAGGGGCCATAAACATGCACCATAAACTTCTGTTCATGGAGCCAGATGGCTAAGCATCCCATCCCCAAATCCCCAGATAAAATATTTTAACAATTAAAATTTACAGAGCTGAGAAAACGAAAACAATGAGGTAATAAAGTAACTGATAAAAACTAGGCATTTAAAAGGGGACTTAAACAGAAATAGAACAGGCTGTTTGAAATAGCTAGGTTTCTAAAACAGACACATAGATCTGGAATATTGTTTCCACAGTATCAGGGCTGCCTCCAAAAAGGTGATTTGGTCATTAAAAAAAACCCCAAGGTAATCAGAAAAGTTCTTATCCTGAGATCCTAATGTCATGAAGAAATGAATGGCCCTAGTATCTTAAGCTTAGACCTTTAAAGCCTTGAACAGAGAGCATAATGAAATTGGCTTGGAAACAAATAAGTTATCTATGGAGCTACCAAAGAACAGATATGTAATAGTCTCTTCGGCTTACTGGAATACTGCTTAGACTGACTTGCTGTTGAATAATGGTTTCCCCAGTTTTCAAGTACAGCCCCAGGACAGATTAATAGATTTAGGAAAGTACAGGTTAAAAATGCCTTTTCCTTTTGATTATTATTATTATTTGGAATTTGGGACACCTGTATTTGCATATACATACATAATGAGATATCTTGGGAGACAGGACACATGTCTAAAAATGAAATTAATTTATGTTTATATACATATTATAAACACAATCTGAAAATAATGTTAAACAAATAATGTTATAATGAAAATAAAGTTACAAACCACTGACCACCTGCTGCAATGCAACCTGAGCCCTGCTACATGCACAATGAAGGACCTCCTTGTGGCAACACCAGAAGCACTCCAAGTGGCCAGATACTGGTCAAAGGACATTTAATCAACTACCAAGCTTGCAAACTTTGTGTTTTGTCTGTTTGTTTGTTTTGTTAAAAATTTAATACAAATGTCTGGTTGCTCCTGACACGATAAATAAAATAAATCATTTATTTATTTCATGCATTTCTACCCTGCCCTTCTCCCACCTAAGGGGACTTTTGAATATAAATTTTGAAAGCAATGAGACCTCTCTCTCAGCCAGTCATGTGGACAATTTCAGATTTATTAGTATTTAAAATTTCAGAATTCCACATAAAGAATGCTTAATCTGTGTTATGTCACTGCTAACATAGCTGCTGCTTTAATACTGATTCCAACAGCAAATCTGAAGAAAGGAAATGAGATCCAAAAAAGCTCCTGCTAAAATAAATCAGATACTTTAAAAAGAGTGGCCTGATTCCCTCCATAACCCACTTTACCTGTTTATGTTGAAAAATATTAACATGCTTGCTCTCTAAATTTCACTCTGAGTTAATAAACGTCCAATGGTTTCATGCAGAAATTGAACTGCAGAGTCAGACCTGAGAACCAAGCTCTCAAGCAGCGAAACAGTGATCTGCAATACCAGAAGTCTCGAAGGGGTCCAAACAATGCAGAAGGTAAATTGCTTGCAGTTCCACTCACCTCGTAGCCATATTGTAAAACTGAGGAGGCAAGGAATGCTCCGATGATATTGCCCACCGAGGCACAAGCACTCCAGAGGCCAAACACAAACCCTCTCCTAAATTGAAAGACAATCGATCAAAAGGTGAATGGATTGGGCAAATGTTGAGAAGGGAAGCAATTTCCATTTTCGACTTACAATAGTTGAAACTACAATACACAATGAAATTTACCTGTGCTTCTCGTAAAAAGGAATTATGGTTTACTTTTTAGAGGTCTATTTAGTTCCTCGTGACTACCAAAGAAGTCAGTTCAGAGATACTACAGGGTGAGGCAGCATAACTTCCTTTTTAAAAATGCGCGCCATTCAGTCGGTTGAAGACGTAGCGGAGCGCTAGTGGTCTCGTTCGATAGGCGGGAGTATAAAGTTTTGTCCTGACACAGTTCAGTCGCCATCATGCGTTGGAACAGTAAGGAGCATGCTTTTGCCGTTGAGGCCTACTTTTCGAGTGGATTTGGAGTGGCCAGCCCACTCTCCAGATTTGGCCCCTTGTGATTTTTTTCTATGGTTTTCTTTGAAATCCCGTGTTTATGTGAACTGTCCAAGGACTCTACAAGATTTGAAGACCAACATCCAGGAAGAAATTGCCAACATAATGCCTGCTATGCTGGCAAGAGTCATGACAGAAAGCGGTTTACTCAGTGTATGGAGAATGGGGGACGTCACCTGCCTAATTTGATCTTCAAAACTACGTAAAAGAAAACTTTAGGTATGTGCCTACATTATAAAAATAAAAATTTCTGATTCATACAATGGATATTATTAAGTTTTGAAAAAAGGAAGTTATGCTGCCTCACCCTGTATGTGGCCACATACAATCAGGCATGGGCAAATTTCATCCCTCCAGATGTTTGGACTCCCAAAAATCACAACCATCTTACCGGCTGCTAGGAATTGTGGGAGTCGAAGTTCAAAACATCTGGAGGGCTGAAGTCTGCCCATGTCTGACCTAGCTGTTAGTTCCAGCTTTTGTACTAGAAAACACTAATTTTAATTATCCATTCGCCAATCATTCTAGATAAATTACAAATATGTGTAATTTACCTGGAACGAAAGATCTATGTTTAAGTTTAGAAAGAAAACCACCATTAAAATTATAACACAACAAACAAAGTATGTAAACATAAAAATCACTTTCACACATAAAGGAAGCCAGAAGAATAAAATCCACAGAGCAAAAGAAATGTAAACAGCTGAGAAAATAATAAGGCAATCACCTAGTCCAGGTTCTTTAGAGAAGACAATCCTTAACCAATAATAATAATAATCTTTATTTATATCCCGCTTCCTCTCCCCAAAGGGACTTGAGTGCCTAGGAGGAGGAGGAATCCTTCACCAATGGTCTTCCCATGTGCTAATCCACATTCCTCCGCCAAGGAAAAAATAACAAAATGTGGATATTCAAGATATACATGCCTAGCAATGAGGGCTGCATTGTAAAGCACGCATAATGAAGAGAGATAAGGCAGCAATAGATAAAGGAGGAACTGACATACCCAGCTTTTCCAAACCAGTTTCCCATGACAGCTACGACACAAGGCCAACCAGTGGACTGTAGCAAGCCATTCACAATCCACAGGCTGCAATAGAACCACTTGTTGTAAAAGTGCAGCCATTCCGTGACCGTGCCAAACACAAACACCTGGAAAGAAAGAAACAAGACAATATAATGGCAAGGGGAAAGCACGTGAGCCTGTAATGTTCAATGGCCCTCTCTACTATTCACTTGCGGCCTACAATAAAAAAAATATAAAACTTTTGTTCAAACTTCTCAGCTTGGTTGCCTGAAAATAATTCCCATTTGCCACAGGAAACCGAGTAAGGAGACATTTAAAAATCTGGGCTAAAGAACTAAATTATGAGCACGACTAATTGCTAAAGCTGGTGGGAGAAACTTCACAGTTTAAAAAGGATGAAGCATAAAAGGAAGGAGGAATGCCTAGAATAAGAGGTGTCACACATAAGGCACTACTTCCTAGCACCTCAGCATTTCTAATATCAATTTGCGTAGTCTTTAAAGGTACAATCACTACCTAATTACTGGGTAAATAATTCTCACAACAAACTTTTTAGGTCTAATGGTGAACAAGTGGCTTAACTCATCCAGTCTTTAAATGAATGACCGACTAAGAGCTGCATTATACAGAAGTCTGCAAGCAGCAGCATTAGAGACTACAGCTTAATTTAGAAAAGTTATAAAGACTAGTGTAATAAGCAGAGCTGAAAGCCTACAATGGATTTGCAAGCTAGTTTCAGCAAGAGATATTTGAATTCCTTCTGTGTGGTTACTTTTAACCCAGTGGCGCAATGGGTTAAACCCTTGTGCTGGCAGGACTGCTGACTTAAAGGGCGGCGGTTCGAATTCTGGGACCAGAGTGAGCTCCCATCTGTCAGCTCCAGCTTTCCATGCAGGGCATGAAATAAGCCTTCTACAGAATGGTAAACATCTGGGCATCCCCTAGGCAATGTCCTTGCAGATGGCCAATTCTCTCACACCAAAAGCGACTTGCAAGTCAAGTTACTCCTGACAAACACACAAAACCCCACCCTAAATCCCACATTACCTGAATACATTTAATGGAGTTCATGACATTTCTTGATCCCAGAATCTCATTTACATATGACAAGACTTTTTGTTATGGTCTCTACCTTTTATTATGTGGCAAATCTAAGATTTCCCCCCTTTCAAATTAGAATTCCTGTCCCCCATTCTTTAAGAAATGAATCTGGGTATAATGCCAAGAGGAATGCTGCATAAATACCACCACTTCCTAATTTGGACAGAAAAAAGATTTCTCAGCTTACCACTAATGCAGAGGAGCACATGCCAAATGACAGGACCCAGCGCATATTCAGACGATCCCCAACAATACCACTGACAAAAAGACCCTACAAGAAGAGAATTTTGTTTTAATCAATAAGAATGATAGAATAACGTTCAGTCTATAAATGCCCCAGAATGGTCTGTAAGGCTGTAAGATGTTTTGTTCTTTTTTATTTTGTACGAGGCATTCAGAACCATCACGAATCTTTATAATGTTCTGAAAAAAAGACAAGTTTGACTCTCAGCACAGCCTCTGCATCTCCTCGGCCATGAAGATCTCTGACACTGGACCATTCACAATCTCAGGCAAATGGGAAACACACACAGAAGAAAACTATCTACGCACCACAGCATAAGAGAAGAGGAAGATGGTGTCCAGCGTCCCAAGAAAAAGAGTGGCTTCTTTTTCATCTGGAAATAAGTGACTGCTGTTCCAAAGCTGTAAAGAAAGAATCACTATTGTTACAAGTTGTGGCATGGAAAAGTGCTGTTCTGTCTCACCAAAAAAAGATGAGGATAACTAACATACCACTTTTCTTGCCATCTATATTTGTAACACCTTTTTCAGGTGAAAAATCAGGGGATCTTCAGCTGGCATGATGTATTTTGTGTATTTCTGGCTGGCACAATAAAAGTATTGCGATTTCATGGACTGTGGATGTGACCAAGTATCAGTGCTGTAACACCAATTTCTGTCACAAGAGGTCAGTCCATTTTGCAGGATTAAAGGTAGCAGGTCTAATATGCTAAAGCAGTGGTTTTCAATCTATGGGTCCCCAAATGTTTTGGCCTTCAAGTCCAAGAAATCCCAACAGCTGGTAAACTGGCTGGCATTTCTGGGAGTTGTAGGCCAAAACACCTGGGGACCCACAGGTTGAGAAACACTGCCCTAAAGGCACCAGATCCCACCAAACCTTGGAAACAAAACAGGATCAGCCCTGGTTAGTACTTGGATGTGAAACTGCTGTAGCCTCTATTTCATAGAATCATAGAATCAAAGAGTTGGAAGAGACCTCATGGGCCATTCAGTCCAACCCCCTTGCAAGAAGCAGGAATATTGCATTCAAATCACCCCTGACAGATGGCCATCCAGCCTCTTTTTAAAAGCTTCCAAAGAAGAAGCCTCCACCACACTCCAGGGCAGAGAGTTCCACTGCTGAACGTCTCTCACAGTCAAGAAGTTCTTCCTCATGTTCAGATGGAATCTCCTTTCTTGTAGTTTGAAGCCATTGTTCCACGTCCTAGTCTCCAGGGAAGCAGAAAACAAGCTTGCTCCCAGAGGAATGAGGAATGAACTGGCAAAACCATCTCTGAGCTTAATAAACCTTCATAGGGTTGTCAAAAGTCGACAGAAAACTTGAAGGCATAGACATATACACCAATGTTGCTAGTCTGCCATGTGTCCACTGTCCCTCATCACTGGTGATATTGCCCAGGTTCAATTCACCATTTGGACATGGAAACCTACTAGATGACCTTGGGCAAGTCACACACTCTCAGTCTCAGGGAACGCAAAAGTAACATCAACTGCAGCTTTTGCTGAGTCATTGTAGCCATTTAACCTTTTCAGTGCGTGACTGATGATCGTGCCATTACTGCCCAAGCAGGGAGCTTTGAGACGGTAGAACGGAAGCTCTCTGAAGCTCTAGGTGCTCTTACTGCCTACTACAGGGAAAACCAGCTGATCCCTAACCCATCTAAAACACAGCCATGTGCTTTTCATCTCAAGAACAGAGAAGCATCCCGAGCTCTGAAGATCACCTGGAGCATTGCAGCGCACCCAAATACCTGGGAGTCACTCTGGACCGTGCTCTTACCTACAAGAAGCATTTTATTTTCCCTGGTTCCTCTCCCCCTCTTTTTATGCACCACTGTTATTATTATTTTTGAGATTTCTGACTCATAAAATTGCAGTAAGATCTAATTAGAACAAGGATGCTGATCTTTCCAAATACCTGGGAGGCACTCTGGACCGTGCTCTTACCTACAAGAAGCACTGCCTGAACATCAAGCAAAAAGTGGGTGCCAGAAATAATATCATACGAAAGCTGACTGGCACAACCTGGGGATCACAACCAGACACAGTGAAGACATCTGCCCTTGCGCTATGCTACTCTGCTGCTGAGTATGCATGCCCAGTGTGGAACACATCTCACCACACTAAAACAGTGGATGTGGCTCTTAATGAGATATGCCGCATTATCACAGGGTGTCTGCGCCCTACACCACTGGAGAAATTACACTGCTTAGCCGGTATTGCACCACCTGACATCCGCCGGGAAGTAGCAGCCAATAGTGAAAGGACCAAGGCAGAGACATCTCCAGCTCATCCCCTGTTTGGGTATCAGCAGCACGACGACTTAAATCAAGAAATAGTTTTCTAAGATCTACAGAGACACTCGCTGGAACACCTCAGCAAGCGAGAGTCCAAAAGTGGCAGGCTCAAACCCAGAACCTCAACCAATGGCTGATACCAAATGAGAGACTCCCTCCTGGGCACACAGAGGACTGGGCGACCTGGAAGGCACTGAACAGACTGCGCTCTGGCACCACGAGATGCAGAGCCAACCTTCAGAAATGGGGCTACAAAGTGGAATCCTCGACATGCGAGTGTGGAGAGAGCAAACCACTGACCACCTGCTGCAATGCAACCTGAGCCCTGCCACATGCACAATGGAGGACCTTCTTGCAGCAACACCAGAAGCACTCCAAGTGGCCAGATACTGGTCAAAGGACATTTAACCAACTACCAAACTCACAAGTTTTGTATTTTGTCTGTTTGTTTGCTTTGTTCTGTTAGAAATGTAATATAATGGACTGGTTGCTCTGACACGACAAAAAAAAAAGTGCTTGACTCACATTTTTGTAATTAAAAATATTTAGTTAATTTTTAATATTTCTGACAACCTTTACAGTCTAAGAGTGTGCTGCTATACGTCTTCAAGATGCAAAACAAGTTCAGCTTAGCCCAGTGATTCTCAACCTGTGATCCCCAGGTGTTTTGGCCTACAACTCCCAGAAATCCCAGCCAGTTTACCAGTTGTTAGGATTTCTGGGAGCTGAAGGCCAAAACATCTGCGGACCCACAGGTTGGGAACCACTGGCTTAACCTTTCTTCACCTACAGATCATCAGCTGGGGTCAACATGTATTGGCAAAATAAAAGGTTGTTTCAAAGACAGAAACAGATATAACTTGGCCACACTGGAAGGAGTTAATTTTAATGGCAAAATCAGAGCATGGAAAAAGTGTGGCCTTCCAGATGATGTCTGATTGCATTTCCTAGAATCTCTCGCTGTTGGCTGTACTGGCTGGGCATCATGGGAGTTGCAGTCCAAGAACTTCTGGAGGGACACACTTTGCACAACTCAGGATAAAGAAAAGTATGTCCTTTTAAAGAGATCATCATTTACCTGGCAAATCCCACATATTACTACTTAAGGGTTAAAATGCCAATCATATCTATGGGACCAACTTTCTCATGACTGGAAACAAAGGAATATATCCTTAAAAGCTGTGGCTGAGGAAGGACCTCAGCCTGATGCCTCCATAGTTTCTGTCAAGGGGAAATTCTATTTCCTTGAGACCAGAGCAATTGTAGAAAGCACAGAGGACATCACATGATTTCCTTTCCCCCTAGCTTTCAGAAGCTTAACTGTACCAAACACATCCAACATCCCCCCCCCCCCCCCCCCCCCCACACACACACACACACACAAACAGAGCGCAAATATTTAACTGAACCAAGATTACCTCTGCACAGCTGCCTGGGGAAGAAAATGTTATGTATTCCCCCCAATTCAGAAGCAAGTTTTATGACAAGGGTTATATTCCCACCCTCCCCTCGGCCACCTTGTTGTTTTAGCTCATTGCTTCTTTATCCATGTCACACAGACTATGTTGCACTGAAAGCAGCCACGTGGAAAGTATCACAAACAGGCAGCAGATCATGCTCCTGTAAGTGCGTCAATGTCAGAGTAACTTTTGTACTTAAGTGCTGGACAAATTCTAAAGAAAACACAAAAGTCTGGCTCTGCTTGTAGCACTTTTGCAGAATGGAGAAAGAAGCTCCACTTCCAAATGAAAAGGCCCCTTGAAGAGGCAAGATTTGGGCTTTATCAAAGTGCAGAAAATCCTATTAACCTTATGGACCACCTGAACATTAGGTAGAACTTCCTGAGTATAAGAGCTGTTCAGCAATGGAACTCTCTGCCTCAAAGTGTGGTGGAAACTCCTTCCATGGAGTTTTTTAAACAGAGGCTGGATGTCCATCTGTCAGGGATACTTTGTGCTTTTCCTGCATGGCAGGGGGTTGGACTGGATAGCCCATGTGGTCTCTTCCAACTCTATGATCATATGAACTCCCAAAATCCTACAACCAGCCATGGTCACATGCTGGGTGGGGCTTTCCAAAAATTATAGCACAAAAAAGAAACTTGACTAAACTTTGGAAAACAAGCAAGAGTTTGACAAGACCAACAAACGGAATACTCTCACCTCATAGGGTTCAAGATTGAGGGCAGAATCATTAAGGCAGGAAGGGGTCCACTGGCTGGAGATGCTGACTTTGACATTGCTGAAGGTCTTCCGAGAGGCATGGAGCAGAGAGTAGCTGGGGATTTAATGGGTTAGGAAGAGAAAATAGGAAGATCATACTCAGAGTATAATCTCAATTCACAAAAACCTTTGCAGAGAGGTGCAATGCTCTTGATTTCCCCAGCAGTATTTTTGTTTCAAACTGGAGAAGAACAAACAACAGTAACCAAAAAAACTCTGTGTGTACAGAAGCATGTAGATGGGAAATGCATTGTCACCCAGATGATGTTATAATAATGCAACACTATCACCATTAAGTTTACTGGTCTGAATGATAAGAGCTGCAGTCTGAACACCTCTGAAGGGCTGAACATTAGGGTGCAGTTTGACACCACTTTAACTACCATGGCATAATGCTATGGAATCATGGGAGCTGTAGTTTTACAAGGCCTTTAGCCTTCTCAGTGACAGACTGTTAACGCCTCACCAAACTGCAAATCCCAGGATTCCATAGCACTGAACTATGGTAATTAAATTGTGTTCAGAGTGCATTAATTCTACAGTGTAGATACGCCATTAAAAGAGCAGCTTTGTCAGATCAGTGGCCAACCACATCCTGCATGCACTTTCCCAAACAACAACCAGATTCCCAGGGAAAATCTATAAGCAATAGTCTTCGCCTTCTGCTATTCTCCAGAAAATGATATGGGACTTGCTTGAATCTGGGAAGCTAATGCCTTCGTGAATTCCCAGCAGAAAAAAAAATACCTGGTAAATGTAGTTGGAGGCACCAAGACAATGACAAATGGCAGCATAGGAGATGAAGAACATTTGAACCTCCAAATCCTTTGGACTATTATTCTCACAAGTGGGGTGTTGTGTGGTTTCTTGACTGTATGGTCATCTGAAGATGCCAGTCAGATGCAGGTGAAATGCTGGGAGACAGGCCCGTAGCCAGGATTTTGTTTCCGGAGGGGGGAAGAGGGTCTAGCCTAGCAAACCTTTTGTATCATTACCCCAATACCCCCATGCATACGGGATATATTGAGTATGGTGATCAGATCATGATATGAATAAACATAACAGTTTAAATAATGCACCAGTAAGGCCTTTTCCGCGACATTGTGAATTTCAGGGGGGGGGGTGTGAAGCCCCCCCCCGGCTACATGCCTGCCGGGAGATAATGCTGCTAGAACATGGCCATATAGCAGGAAACCACACAACACCCCAGTGATTCTGGCCATGAATAATAATAATCATCATCATCATCATCTTTATTTATACCCTGCCACCATCTCCCCAATGGGGACTCAAGAGTGGCTTACATGGGGCCAAGCCCGGACAACATGTTACAGCAAAATAAAACCATAAACAACATGAACAAGCAACATGAAAGTCTTCGACACTCCCACGACTCTTTGCCATCTGCCATGATGTTTGGAGCTTTGTGCCCTCTAGAAGTTTTGGATTCAGTTCCCCAGTTCCATTGCAGAGAACTCTGACCAGAACCAGAACATCTAACACTCATCAAAAACAGGGGTCTCCATACACACACAATTTCTGTACAGCTCTCTGCATAATATTTTTTTCAACAACCAAATGGCTCCCACACATATGCAACAGCAGTAACCTACCTGAAGAAGGTGAGCAGGAACACAGCAATATGATGATGTGTGAACTGTGACATACAGTTCTTATTTGTCGGCTGCCGCCTCAAAGCTCCAGGCATTGTACCTTCTGTTCCCCCCTTCTGTCCCACCCCCAACCCCTTTGCCCTTTAAGGCAGAAAGGTAGGTTAGGTCATTCTCTTCTCTCTGTGGGGGAAAAAGAGAAATAAAGTTTAGGAAAACCTAAGCGGGCACCATGCGTATCCAAATTGTACAACTGAAGCAATCTGATGTTTTACCTCCTTGATTTCATCCTATGGTTTTGTAGGTTGTTGAGGTATAAATAAATTACTACTGAGTTCCCACTAGAGCTTTTGATTTGTAGTTTGCTGAAATACACAGAAATCTCTACTGCATTCTCTTGAAACACAGCATTAGAGTTTTCAGCAGAAATGTTATGTAGTTTGGTGAAATACATAGACACCTCTGCTGTGTTTTCCTGAAATACAGAACTAGAACTTTTTGGCTGAGGACTCCAGGGACCTGTAGTTTGACGAGGCATCAGCACTACTTTGCAGACAATGCAAAACGACAGCTCCCAGGATTCCACACTATTGACCCATTGAGTTAAAGTGGTGCCAAACTGCATTAATTCTATAGTATAGATGCACCCCAAGTCCAAACTACAAACCACAGACCAGCCATGGCAGCTAAAATGGTATCAGAGTGCTATGACTGTATAGTATAAATACATTGAAGATTTTAAGACTGTGGGTGTGATTATGCACACATTCAGATTCCCTATTAACTTATAACAAGCCCATAAATTTCATAAAGTTTTCTTATGCAAAGAACATTCCATAGTGGTTTGCCACTACCTTCCTCGAAAATATAGCCTACAGCACCTGACATTCCTTGTACTAATCAGGGCTGGCCTTGCTCAGCTTCCAAGATCAGATGAGATCTGATGCCTCCAGGGTATTTAGGCTATTTAAGCACACTTACTACCTATGCTTGTGGGTTGACTATTCCATTCCTATGAGGAAGTGGAGTTGTAATCCATAAAAACCCATGGCTTACCCATATTTATTAATCTTCTTTTATCTCATTACTGTTCAAGTCTTTTCTGGATATTTATCATGGACTGGTAGCTAGTGGCCTACAATTGGCATTAGTTTACTCCCATATCCAGTATCCCTACCTTAGAGCACCTACAAAATCTAGATAAGCACTGTGGCTGCATTTTTTTTCTTTCTCCTTTTCATCAGCAAAGACAGAGTTCAGTGGTTAAGAACTTAAGTTCAAAGTCATGTTGTGTTCCTTCAAGTCGTTTCTGATATAGGACAACCCTACGGTGAATCTATTCAATGTTTTCTTGGCAAAATTTGTTCTTAGTGGGTTTGCATTTGCACCCCTCTAAGGTTGAGAGAGTATGAACTGTCCAAAATCACCCAGTGGATTCCCATGGCTAAGTGTATTCAAACCTGATCTCCAGGGTCCTATTTGAACAGGCAAACTACTATTCCACCAAAATGTTAGCTAAGGGCCCTTCCAGACAGGCCCTATATCCCAGGTATTCTTTTTATCCCAGATTATCTAGCAGTGCAGACTCACATAATCCAGTTAAAAGCAGAAAACCTGGGATCAGATCCTGGAATATAGGGCCTGTCTGAAAGGACCCTAAGTCACAGTCTCAATGATTGGCCTTAAGCAGATAACACCAAAATGATTGTATTTTATCTCACTTTTGAAAAGACTACCGAAGTGCTTTGAACACTTGCAATTCTATTTCTTAATATTCTCACAGAGAATACTAGGTGAGCGCCTAGTCAGGATGAATGCAGCCCATCTTGTTTCCCTTCCTTTTTCTGGGTTTAAGGCTTGAAAAGAATGAGAACAGCACTGGATAACACCCAGAGAGCAATGGAGTGAAGGCAGGGGATGAAAATAAAGGTCAAACAATTGGCACAGATAGCCACTAAATGTAACTTGAGTTTTTTCTCCCAATTTTGAGAGATAAAGGAAACAAGAATATCCTGCTTGTCACAAGACCTTTAGCCATCCATTCAACCATGCAAATCAAAGCACATGGCACACGGTTTCCAAACTAGGTACAGGTGGCCCCTGAGTTACAAACATCCAACTTAAGAAGTTAAGAACTGGGGTGAGGCAACAGGAAGTGAGAGAAATCTAACCCTCAGAAGAGAAATTTACTCTTGGAAGAGTTTTCGTGGGGAAAATGTGTCTCCACTGAAGACTTGTTTCCACAACAAGCCACATTTTTCAAAATCCAATTATCACGGGGACAGGAAGTGAAGTGAAATCTTCTGAACAAGGGCACAGAAGCACAGGGTGTTGACCTTTCCTATGCTATGCAAGGCTAAATAAATGGCCGGAAGTACAACTTAGAAACCAATTCTACTTAAGAACAAACCTACAGAACCTATCTTGTTCATAATTTGGGGACCACCTGCAATTTATTTTGGCACATAAGCAGGTGTACCTCTAACCCAATAAAATACAAAGCAAATAAGTTAAGAATTTGTTACCACCAAAACGAAGGATGTTGTCTTATACAGTTGACCTTCCACGTTTGCAGATTTAATGAAAATGTTCTCTCCAGTAATCTGTAGGTCCTCCAGTGCAAGCCCATAGTCAATTTCCACCAAAACAAAACAAATCCTTGAGAGAAAACCTTTTTAGAAATCTCTACAACATCCAATAGGATTCTGTGGTCAACATCTACTACAAGTGGACTACAAGCCTGCACTGGAGGACCTAGAGATTGCTAGAAAGAATATTTCTCTAGGCATCTGCAAAGTCTTTCAGGGTATTTCCATGGTCAGTTTCTGCTGGAAGCTGAGAATACAGTCACACTGGAGATGATAAAGTTTTCTAGAGGGATATTCTCTGAGGTTAAAAAAAAATAGCATCCATTAATTTTGGTTTTTATTTGTGGTCTCTGTTCATATTCTTTCCTAATCCTACCTGAAGATCCCAAGTACTTCCTCATTCAAGCAGAAACTAGGCCTGGTCCAGCTTAGCTTCCAAATCAGATGAAATCAGTGGTGTTCGAAGTGATAAGGTAACCTTACATGACACTCAAGGTCTGCTGCTTGAGGTGGATGACTCACTCTGCATAGTGATAAGGCTCCCTCTGAAGAGTATTCGGGAACACAAGGCTTTTCAAAGGAATACAGATTACTGCTTCCTTATCAGACTGCCATTGGGAATGTTGAAGGAATTAGCTTTTCACAAGTTAAGACCAATGTCAACATTTCACAGGACAGGCTTTAATACCAAGTCCTCCGGACATCCGCCTTGTCCTATCCTGCCTAGGGCACTGCTGTCTCTATAATCAAGTCATTTAAGAATGGCCATAAGAAAGAAAAGTTTTGTTTTAAACCTGAAATAGCAGTTGTAGAACACCTGAATTTGACTCTGGAATGAGCCAGTTCTAAGCAGTCGATGTACCAATGAACAGTCTCAGCATGGCAGGCCATCACGAACTACTCATTGAGAGAGACATACACAGATTGTATTCTCTCAACCACAAATCTTTGCAGGAAACAAAGGTCTTGCCAGGAACAGTGGAGAAAGCAGTGTTCGTCATGTATCTGGTAAACTGCTCTACACACTTCTCAGTAGAATACATGCTTCAGGCATACAATAAGGCTAGAAAATGTGAGGCCCCACAAATGCAGAAGAATTCTACTTCGTCACTGTCCATGCTGAAGGGGATGACAGAAACTGGTGTCCAACAACATCCAAGGGCCACACTTTCCCAATCCCTGATCTGATGATGTAAAATGATGGGAATGTGATCTCTTAAAGGATTAATTTGTCCTACTCCTTGTTCACCATTATAATCTGCCTCAGAAAGACTATTAAGCAAGTTCCACATTTAGTTCTTCATTTATTACCTCCTAATTTCAACCTGCTCTTCCACATAGTTGAATAAAATCCCACATTTTCTCAATTGAACTGGAATATATGATTTTGTGGACTCAGGGCCCTTCCACACAGCCCTATATCCCAGAATATCAAGGCAGAAAATCCCTCAATATCGGCTTTGAACTGTGTTATCTGAGTCCATACTCAGATAATGTGGGATTCTCTGCCTTGATATTCTGGGGTATAGGGCTGTCTGGAAGGGCCCCTAGACCAGGGGTCCTCAAACCAAGGCCCGAGGGCCAGATACGGCCCTCCAAGGTCATTTATCCAGCCCTTGCTCAAGGGCAACCTAAGTCTGAAACTACTTGAAAGAACACAACAACAACAACAACAACCCTATCTCATCAGCCAAAAACAGGCCCACACTTGCCATTGAAAGACTAATATGTTTATATTTCTTAAAATTGTTCTTCATTTTAATTATTGTATTGATTTTAAGTGTTTTTGCACTACAAATAAGATATGTGCAATGTGCATAGAAATTCATTCATTTTTTTTCTACAACAGTTGAGGGTCGTATATTTCCCCCCTCTGTATATATTAAGTCCATACCACCTATATGTGTATGGCTTCGCATACGATATTTCCAGTATATATACATACCTTCTTACCTAACAAATACAACAACAAAAGCCCCAAACAAACAGATTTTTTTTTTGTTGTGTCAGGAGCAACCGCTCCTGTTGTGAGAGAATTGGCCATCTGCAAGAACGTTGCCCAGGGGACGCCCGGATGATTTCTGATGTTTTGTCATCCTTGTGGCAGGCTTCTCTCTTGTCCCCGCATGAGGAGCTGGAGCTGATAGAGGGAGCTCATCCGCCTCTCCCGGGATTCGAACCTGCGACCTGTCGGTCTTCAGTCCTGCCAGCACAGGGCTTTAACCCACTGCGCCACCGGGAGCTCCTAACAAACAGATAACCTCCATCCACCTCCATACAATACAGTGCGACACATACATATATATAAATTCCCTTTGACTTCATGCGTGTTACTTCGTTCCTATCATATCTTAATTCAGCCGGTTATCCTGTAACCCATTTTATTTATTTATTTATTTATTTATTGTTCTTATACCCCGCTACCATCTCCCGCAGGACTCAGTGTGGCTTACAAGAGGCCAAGCCCAACAACATCATAAAAACAACAACAGCAAACAATAAATAACTCAAAAAAGCAAAACAATACAATAATGACACAACACATTTTAAAACATAAGGCAGGGCCAAATGTGAAAGTTTTAAAAGTTAAAAGCTGGGAAGTTTAAAGGGGATAGGAGGCATGTTTTGGGAAAGGTGGACGTGAAGACAGTTCTAAATCTCTCATAAAGTGCATTGAGGACATATTGCTAGGGTTCCTTATTTTGGGAAGGCACACTGGAACCACGTTTTCAAGCTCCTTCTAAAGACTGCCAATGTTGGGGTCTGCCTGATGTCCCTGGGGAGGGAGTTCCAGAGTTGCGGGGCCACCACCGAGAAGGCCCTGTCCCTCACCCCCACGAATCGTGTCTGTGAAACAGGTGAGCAGGGCCTCACCAGATGAACGAAGAGATCGTGTGGGTTCGTATACAGAAATGCCCCTTAGTATTCTGCTATTCTTTTTTCATGTTTTTTTTTTTAATTATAATCCGGACCTCCAACAGTTTGAGGGACTGTGATCTGGCCCTCTGTTTAAAAAGTTTGAGGATCCCTGCCCTAGACATTTAAATTATAGAAACACAAAACCATCAGATGGGGAGTGGAGAGAATTCACCCACAAAAGCAAAGAGAGGCAGCATGTATAAATATGTGAGAGGAAGCCACAGGGAGGAGGGAGCAAGCTTGTTTTCTGCTTCCTTGGAGACTAGGACACGGAACCATGGCTTCAAACTACAAGAAAGGAGATTCCATCTGAACATGAGGAAGAACTTCCTGACTGTGAGAGCTGTTCAGCAGTAGAACTCTCTGCCCCGGAGTGTGGTGGAGGCTCCTTCTTTGGAAGCTTTTAAACAGAGGCTGGATGGCCATCTGTCAGGGGTGATTTGAATGCAATATTCCTGCTTCTTGGCAGGGGGTTGGACTGGATGGCCCATGAGGTCTCGTCCAACTCTTTGATTCTATGATTCTAAGGAGGCCAGCCTGTGATTATGTTCTCTCGCTTTAAAATTACTAATGGCAGGACCCAATTTATGTCAATGAGAAGAAGGAAGGAACACAAGCTCCTGATCTTGTCTTGGAACAGAAGCCAGGTTGGTGAGATTTACAGGCTGCCCATAAATCAGCCCAACCACTTACCAGGAGAACAATGCCAGGAGCGTGAAGCCTGTTGCTTTTGACAGGGTTGTGACACTCCAGAAACAAAAATATTTCCTTACAAGAAGCAAGTGCCACTGGTTCATACCAGTCAGGCACAAGGAAACAGCTGGGAGGAGACATTCCACGTAGATATATAAAATCCAACATTATCTGATTTATGGAGGTACATTTTAGTGCATGCATGGGCCAATTTGGGCCTTCCAGGTGTTTTGGACTTCAACTCCCACCATTCCTAACAGAGAGGGGGGAAAGGAAAGGGCCCGAGGCTGTTAGGAATAGTAGGAGTTGAAGTCCAAAACACCTGGAGGCCAAATTGGCCCATTACCTGATTTAAAGAGTGAAGGAGGAGGGAGGCCACTGATCCAGCTGCTACGTGGCAATAGGGTGACAGAAAAGGCAGCCAAAGGGAGGGAGAAAAAGGCAGCCAAAGAGCTGAGGATGGAAGAGGGCCTCGACACGACACGGATCAAGCCGCACGTTTGAACTGGGAGACTCAGAAAGACCAAGAGAGAGAGAAAGAAAAAGCCTTTCCCGAGCAAATCAAACAAAGCTTGCCAAATCAAACAAAGAGAGAGAGAGGCTAAGGCAGCAAGGCCTAGTCGCCCCAAAGGAAGCCCCCCTCCCCTCACTCCTTCCTCTCTCTCTCTCTCTCTCTCTCTCACTCACTCACTCTCAGCCGCCTGCCACGAACGCCGCTCACTTGCCCGCATTTCCAAGGCAACTTCCAGGAAGTCACGTGACCTCCTCGCTTGGCACTTCCGAGCCTTCCCCTCCTCCCAGTTCTCTCAATCTCTCTTTCTCTCGCGCGCGAAGCATGCTGGGAGTTGTAGGCTGAAGATTAAGCAGGGGGCGGGGCCCGTCGAGAGACACTCTCAGAGTGGAGTGGGCGGAGCCAAAGGGAGCCTGTATATATGAATACGTATATATAAGTGTAGGGATATGTATATGTATGTATGTGTATATACACACACACATATACACACACATTTATATATATATCTTAGGCCTGTGTAATGCATGGTTCTAAAGTACTTCCAAAACTAAAGTTCTGGTGGTGAAAATTTCAAAACTCTCAAAATTTCATTATAAATGGCAGTTCCTAATTGGTTCTGTCATAAAAAAATCACCAATAATGAAATAATAATTCAATTTTGAAAGATTTGTTAGAGTTCTGAAATTTTCACCACCAGAACTTTAGTTTTGGAAGTACTTTAGGACTATTTAGAACCATGCATTGGCCAGGCCTTACACACACACACACACACACACACACACACACACACACACACATATACATACACACACACACACACATATACACATACATATACACATACATATACACATACATACACATATACATATAGAAAGAGAATATATGCGTATGTTATACACACACAATATATAAAATACACACACTCACAAATGTATACAGCTTTGTGTGTGTGTGTGTGTGTGTGTATATATATATATATATATATAATACACAAAACATGTATACCATTTGATTAGCCAAGTGTATGTGTGTATTACACATACACAGGAGCCCCCGGTGGCGCAGTGGGTTAAACCCCTGTGCCGGCAGGACTGAAGACCGACAGGTCACAGGTTCGAATCCAGGGATAGGCAGATGAGCTCCCTCTATCAGCTCCATCTCCTCATGCGGGGACATGAGAGAAGCCTCCCACAAGGATGATAAAAACATCAAATCATCCAGGCGTCCCCTGGGCAATATCCTTGCAGACGGCCAATTCTCTCACACCAGAAGTGACTTACAGTTTCTCAAGTCGCTCCTGACACAACAAAAAAAATACATACCATTTGATTAGCTCTCTCTTTCTCTCTCTCTCTCTCTCTCTCTATATATATATATATATATATGTGCATATTTCACACACACATGCATATGTATACTATTTAATTAGCTGTGTGTCTATGTATGTATGTATGTGTGTGTATATATATATATATATATATAAGTCATGCATGTGTATGCATATATGTGTGTTTGTGAGTGTGTATGCCATATATATATATATATATATATATATATGCACATACACAAATATATGTATACCATTTGATTAGCCAAACATATATATACACACACACACACACCCATGGCTAATTAAATTATGTGCATATCTTTGTGTGTGTGCTTGTGTGTTTTTGTGTGTTACTTACTCACTTAGGCGGTCCCTCGTTGCCCAAGTAGGATAATCCTCCAGGGTGGGTCCGTAGAGATATATTAAAAACTAGCTCCTGGTGTTATTATTGCCACATTTCTTGCCCTGTCCCTTTAACCAAAGAAAACTAACAGGTGGAACATTTCCAGATGTTGAGATTTAGTCCTGGGGGTGCTACACCTGCTGCTTTTCTGATTATGTGCCATTATAAAAGAATAGACCTTCAGCAATCAGACCATTCAATCAGTTTGTAACCCATCTTACTACTAGACAGTTGTAGCTATGTATGTCGTGAGGAAGAATGAGCTAAACCTACAGTGCATGGAAAGAAGGTAAAGCTGGATCATTCATGGTTTCTGCTGCTAGCCTTGAACAATGGTTCGCTCCTGAAATCTGTATGATGTCAAGAATTGGTTAACAGTTTGATATTTTCTCTTGTCTCATGCAGTTTGGTGAACCTATTTTATTAACTTTAATTTAATATTTGAATATTTGAATTAATGTAATATATTTTCATATATATATATATATATATATATATATATATATATATCTTAAGCTATATTATTTATATTTGTTTAATTTAATCATTTATTTATTATTTAATAATTTATTTATTAATGCATTGCTTTGTTTTACTTAGTTAGTTGTTACATCATGTAACAAAATTCCAAAAAAAATTCTGTTCCTGTTTATGCCTTGTTTAATTATGTGGTACTTACTTTGAAAGTAGTTGTTCTACTCCAGAAACTTCATTTTTGTCGCTGCCACAAACTGTTAAATTGGTTGCGACTTTATGAGATATTCATTGACTATAGCAAAATGTGCTGCAGGATGTCTGACAAAAACAAAGTTTTTGCAGTTTAATAAACAATTTTCCATGCGTTTATGATAGAACTAATTAGGAAAGAACATTTATAACCCAGAAACATAAATTGTGTTGCTTATTTATTTATTTATTTATTTACAGTTCTTATATTCCGCCCTTCTCACCCCGCAGGGGACTCAGGGCGGATTACAGTAAACACATATATGGCAAACATTCAATGCCAGTTTGACAAACAACATTTAACAGACAAATACACCGAGGCTATTTAACTTTTTTCTGGCCGCCAGGGGAGCTGCTGCTTTTCATCGTCCATCAACGACACCGATGAAGTTCTTCCGCATTCCACATTCCCCGGAGTCTTTTTTCTTTATGGCCTCATAAATTAGTTAAATTTAGCCTCCCACACAAGGTGGTACCTTATTATTATTCTTATTATTCTTATTATTCTTATTATTCTTATTATTCTTATTATTCTTATTATTCTTATTATTCTTTTTTTTTTTTTCAATTATCTTTATTGCAAAATTTTTCTTATACACACATTAAAACAACAACAAGTGGGGTAAGGGAAAGTGTATATAGGGTATCTGATTGGATAAGAGGGTAGGGGTCGGGGAAGAAAAGAGAAAAAAAAAAAAAAAGGAACTCGATGAGGAGTACACAGGGGGTTGAGTGGGGGTGGATAGTGAGAACAAGGGGGGGGGAAGGTAAGTATGGGGAAAGGGAATAAAAACATCGTGACTTCCAGGTTGAAACATACAGATAATTATTTCTTTTATACATTATTGGTGATTAATAATACTACAGCTTTCTTTCTATATTGGTCTCAATCTCACTATATCCTCATTAAATTTTATTTCCTCTTTTCAAGATAATCCAAGAAGTCGCTCCAATCTGTATTCTTCTTTTTATCGCTGTTAATTCTTAGTCTTTGGGTTAGGAGGTCCATATTCATCACATCATAAACTTTTAAAATCCATTGCTCTATTGTTGGGACCTCTCCAGATTTCCAGAGCCTTGCCAATTGGATTCTGGCCGCTGTCGAGAAGTGAAAAAATGTCTTACTCTCGTTGCTCTTTGCATCAAACACACAGTCCGTTAAGCCTAAAAGATAGTATTCAGGCTTTAGGGGAAATTTCTTTTTCAAGATTTGCTCGATCTCCCCATGTATTTTCCTCCAGTACAGTCTCACCTTACTGCATCCCCACCACATGTGTATGAAGGATCCCATATTCTTTTTACATTTCCAGCATTTTTGTTCCAATTTCCCTTTACTGAATCTGGCCAGTTGTTTAGGGGTCAAGTACCATCTAAAAAATAGTTTGTACCAGTTCTCCCTATAATCGTTGGAATATGTACACTTTAATTTTTTCTTCCAGATTCCCTCCCACTCCTTGAGATGGATGGGGCGGCCGATGTCTTTTGCCCATTTTACCATATTGCTTTTTACTTGTTCTTTTYCTGTCTCCCACCTCAGTAGCACCTGATATATTTTCTTTATGTGTTTACCCTCTGTATTGATAATTTTTTCCCAAAACTTGTTCTCTGCTTCAAAACCTGTTTTGAGGTCTAGATTGTAACTTTCTCTTATCTGGTGATACTGAAACCACGAGAGTGTGGGGTCATAGTTCTTTAATTCCTCCTGAGATTTTAGAGTTGGATTGCTTGGTGGGCCTTTTATTATTTCTTTATAAGTCAGCCACTTTTCTCTGCTGGCTCCTCTGATTTGGCTGGCCTCGTTTGGAGAGAACCATAAAGGTACTTTGAGATGAAATTTGTTCTTATATTTTTCCCATGTATTTATAAGCGGAGATCTAATAAAATGATTTTTAAAATTTCTCTCTTTCTTCGCTTTCCCTCTCCACAAGTAATTGTGCCAGCCTTGCATTATATCATGGCCCTCCAATGCTAGTATTTTTTTCTCTTTTAGGCTAATCCATTCTTTAATCCAACATAGAGCTGATGCATCATGGTAAAGCCTCAAGTTTGGAAGTGCAAGTCCACCTCTATCTTTGCTGTCACATAGATTGACAAAACTCACTCTGTGTTTCCCCCCTTTCCATATAAATTTTTGGATGTCCCTATGCCAATCTTCAAATGTTTTCTTTGTTTTTATAATGGGGAGGGTCTGGAAGAGGTAGAGTATGTCTGGGAGAACACTCATTTGTATGGCTGCTATTCTACCTAAGAGTGAGAGTTTCAGTGGTTCCCATCGTTTTAATTTTTCCTTTATGTGCCGCCATTTCGCCTCATAATTATTCTTATATAGTTGAGTGTTTTTGGTGGTTAGGATTCTTATTATTCTTATTATTCTTATTATTATTATTATTATTATTCTTATTATTATTATTATTATTATGTGCCCTGGCTCAATGGAAGTTGTAGTTCAATGAGACACCAGCCCTCTTCGGTAGAAAAGGCTAAAGACCTTGTAAAACGTCATCTCCCGTACTTCTTAATATTGACCATTTCTGTGGTATCAAACTGCATTAATTGTACCCTAAGCCAAGAATGAGAAATGCCCTTTTCTGCTACATAAATCCCATAACTAAAATAAGGCTAAGAATCCCAAGCACAAATAATAATAATAATAATAATAATAATAATAATAATAATGCAGATTTAGCTGAACGCTTTTTTCTTCCTACAATCAATCATCCTATATTAGCTTGTTTATATGGAGCGCCCAGTGGCGCAGTGGGTTAAACCCCTGTGCCTGCAGGACTGAAGGTCGCAGGTTCAAATCCGGGGAGAGCGCGGATGAGCTCCCTCTATCAGCTCCAGCTCCTCATGTGGGAACATGAGAGAAGCCTCCCACAAGGATGTTAAAACATCAGAACTTCTGGGCATCCCCTGGGCAACGTCCTTGCAGACAGCCAATTCTCTCACACCAGAAGCAACTTGCAGTTTCTCAAGTCGCTCCTGACATGACCAAAAAAAAAAGCTTGTTTATATAGTTTAATATGTTTTTTTTTCTCAAGTTTACAACTTGAAATTGTCAAAATTCCTTACATGGTTTTATCTGTTTGATTTCAAGATAAAAGGGCAACATCAAAATATTGGCAATATAGAGCTAAACCGAATTGCTATTCTAAGCCTTTCTGTGGCAATTCAATGGGTTTTTGTGTCTACAAACAACAGAATTCAATGGGTCTTTCTGTTAGATTAGTAGAGACAAGACATGAGCAAACTCTGACCCAGCAAGTGTTTTGGACTTCAACTCCCACAATTCCTAACAGCTTGTTAGGAATTGTGGAAGTTGAAATCCAAAATACCTGGTGAGCCAAAGTTTGCCCATGCATGGTACAGACAGTTTTGCATCTTAGTTGCACAACAGAATAAACTCGACTGAACTCTTTGGAACTTCCTTCAAAGCCAACAATGTGTTGTGCTGCATTTTGTTCCGACAATGCGGCCCTCCGAGTCACATCATTTCCTTTACCCAAGTGATAATGATCCCCGCTAGGAAGTGGTTTAATGTCTGGTGTTTTGCTCTCACTCTGCTGTGAAGCAAGGCTTGGGTTTCACAAGCAGGAGGCAGGAAGACTTTGACCTTGTGGGACTACGTTTCCCATCAGGCAGCAAGAAAGTCAAGGTGGGAGGAGAATAGCAAGAGCCTTCTACCTGTTCAGGCAGGTAAGAGATGTCAAGGGGAGGGTGACGAGCCGGCGAAACAAACTTTGCCGTTGAGATGCCCAGGTTCCTTTCTTCTGGCACTTCTTATGCGATGGTCTGTGCCGAGGGATATTAATGTTTCACCATGTCGATCAATGATTGCCTCCTTTAAGGTTCCAGGGCAGGAAAGTTTTACAAAGGCAGGTAGCTGGAAACAGGAATGGCAAAGTGGAGAGATAATGATGGCTTACTGTTTGCGGCCTGTTGATAACAGGGGAGCGATTTTCTCTGTGTGTCTTGTTTGCCAGGGGCTGGAAAATAGATAGTTGACTTTCCAGGTGATAAACACACAAAAAGGATCACATGAAGAAATTGGGCTGAAAATCCATTCTCTTTGTGCACCCTTCTGATGCATTTATTCTCTCTATCCATGGTCTTTGAACACGAAAAATTTATATCCTATTCGGGGGGGGGGGAGGGACACTTTTGTGCAATTTCTCATTGATCCTCGTTCTTAAACTTTTGAGTGCATATTGCTTTTCCACTGGGATGCTATGGATTATATTAAAATGGGGAATGTGTTTGTTAAAAATGCTATGATAAGGAACTCTTTTGCAGGCTTAATATCCTATTTGAACCAGAAGTGTTTTGGATTTCATTTTTAAAAGATTTTGGAATATTTGTATTTGCATTTACGCACATGATGAGATATCTTGGAGATGGGATCTAAGTGTAAACACACATTTCATTTGTTTCATGTACACATCTTATATACATTGTGCTTGTTTATACCCCACTTTTTCTTTCCACAAGGTGACTCGAAGCAGCAATTTTATAGTTTGGAGGCAATTATATTCCATATTTTGATACTTTTGTGTGTAAAATGAAATTTGCATAGAAGAACTAGTTCAGTTATCCAAGTATATAATTCTATAACTTCTTAGGCCCCATCTACAATACCATATAAATTCCAGATGATCTGCTTTGAACAATGCCATATAATCCAGTTCAAAGCAGATAATCTGGATTTTATATGACAGTGTAGATAGGGCCCAAGTGTATCCTTTTTCATTCCATCTTTCATTTTAGATACTAGTAGCATTTGAATACTTTTTCTAAAGAAAGGTAAGGAGCAGTTCAGAGAGCCTTCCTGCAAGAATCTGAGAATTGACTGCACTATAGTATACTTGAGTTAATTGTTATGGGGAATTTGGACAATCCAATTTAACCCCCACTATCATATATACCCAAGTCTAATGTGCCATCGAATCTATGCACCTCAATTTTCAAAACTCCCAAACCAAAAAAAGTATTTGCTGCTGAATGCAATGCCCAGCAGCAAAAAGTGTGTGCCCTTTGTAATTTGATCCAAAAAAGGTGCGTATTTCAGTCCTGCCTGCTTCGTGCTAGAGCACCAAAGCTTCCAACAATGGAAAAGAAAACCTTGGGATGTATCTATGCTGTAGAATGAATCCACTTTAGCTGCCCTGGCTCATCGCTATGGAGTCATGGGCTCCACAAGGTCTTGAGCCTGCTCTGCCAAAGAAGGCTAGCACCTCACCAAACTACAAATCCCAGGTTTGCACAGCATTGAACCATGTCAATTAAATTAGAGATGATGCCTCTCAAAGCGAAGCTCCAGGTGCTCCTGAAGCAGCTTTCCCTTTGTGCTTTGACTTGGCACAAAGATTACCATATTGTGTTAAGCTAATGCACACCCTAATTTTGGCAAGGGAATTTAGCCAAAAAAGGTGAGCATTAGATTTTGAGTAAATAGGGTATTTTTTTCAACTGACAGTTCAAACCTCTTCTAATGCAATTCACCCAATGGTTTACCAGTAGATTTTTCTCTATCCTCTGCTCACCTATCCCCCAGTTTTCTATAAATGTTGATTGACAAGTTCTCTAAGGTTTGAACAAGTACCTGTACTAGAACTGATGTCTGTCTTCTTCAAAACAAGTTTAGGGTTTTTTTTTCTGTGTCAGGAGCAACTTGAGAATCTGCAAGTTGCTTCTGGTGTGAGAGAATTGGCCGTCTGCAAGGATGTTTTCCAGGGAACGTCCAAATGTTTTGATGTTTTGCCATCCTTGTGGGAGGCTTCTCTTGTGTCACTGCACGGGCAGCTGGAGCTAACAGAGGGAGCTCATCTGTGCTCTCCCCAGATTCGAACCTCTGATCTGTCAGTCTTCAGTCCTGCCAGTTTAACCCATTGCGTCACCAGGGGTTCCTTCAAAACATGTTGTTAAAAAAGCAATGAATATCCTTGATTGCTGAATTATAGCTATCTAGTTGGTTGACTTGTAGAACCTTTTAGTTCTCTTCTCATTCTATCCATGCTTTCACCATTCATCCGTTATTCCGTCATGAACAAATTTTTGAAGATTTAAAAAAATCTTGACAAACCAAATCTCTCAAATGTTTTTTTGTTGTAAGTCCCAAACTAAAAATCCAGTTTTTCCTGATACCTGGCTTCAGTGAGTTGGGGAATTTAGCAATAAACAAGATGAGTGTAAACAGGGGAGATTCAAGTTGCCACAGTTTCGTAATTATGAGATCCAGATCTGTGCTGATCGGTTGAAACATTTCCACTGCCATCACCTTCACTACTCACCTATTCAGTGAAACTTTCCATCAGCTTTAACAGTAAAACCTGATCACATTCATGCTTTTTAAAAATAGAACAAAAGTGTGACATGCAGGAAATACCCATTTTCTTTCTGTGCATTATGTACCACATGTAAGGGCTTCTTAGGGAACCGAAGCCCTTAAACATGTTATGAGGTTCTTGTCTTTAGTTGCTTGGTTCTTCTTTGCACTCAGTTGCTTTCCCTGCTTTTGATCCAGAACCAAGTCAAGGAATCGGTCAGGAAGCAGGATCATGGCTTTCTCCGACACAGAGGTGGATGAGGACTTTGACTACTTGTTCAAGATCATTCTGATTGGAGACTCGAATGTGGGAAAGACCTGCGTAGTCCATCGGTTCAAGTCAGGACAATACCATACAAAGCAACAGAATACTATTGGGGTAGACTTCACAGTGCGTCCACTTGAGATCGATGGCAAAAAGATCAAGGTAAGTGATATAGTCTTCTATGAGAACAATGGGCAGTCATCTTCATGCCCCACAGTATTTCAGAGAAAATTCCCAAAAACAAAGCTCCATCCTTTGTTACTGCCCATCTCTGAAAGCTTTATTCAGCATGCCAGATTCTTTCATTTTGAACTTTTCCATCTTCCAGCATCTCAAAAACTTAGAGGGAACAGTGGGTTGTTGTGAGTTTTCCGGGCTGTATGGCTGTGCTCCAGAAGCAGTCTCTCCTGTAGAGGGAACACGTTATTCTAACTAGTATCTTAATTAGAGGGTCTGGAGAACAAGCCCTATGAGGAGTGGCTTTAAAGAACTTGGCATGTTTAGCCTGCAGAAGAGAAGGCTGAGAGGAGACATGGTGGCCATGTATAAATATGTGAGGGGAAGTCATAGGGAGGAGGGAGCAGGCTTGCTTTCTGCTGCCTTAAAGACTAGGATGCAGAACAATGGCTTCAAACTACAAGAAAGGAGATTCCATCTGAACATTAGGAAGAACTTCCTAACTGTGAGAGCTGTTCAGCAGTGGAATTCTCTGCCTCGGAGTGTGGTGGAGGCTTTTAAACAGAGGCTGCATGGCCATCTGCTGGGAGTGCTTTGAATTCAATTTTCCTGGTTCTTGGCAGGGGGGCTTGGACTGGATGGCCCACGAGGTCTCTTCCAGCTCTATGATTCTAGAGCAATTGTTAGATGTATTTTATTAACTTGTTATACAGTGCAACCTCTGAGATTTCATTTATCAACTTCTGACAAAACATATCCTTTCTGGCCTTTTCTAGATCTTCCAGCACGACTTTACAGTGTCCTTAGGTCAGAAGTTCTTCATTTCAATAGGGCTCACTATTTTTGCATATCCTTGTGAAATCTGGGAACATATCCCTTGTGGATATGGTTTTTCTGTATTTAAAGCCCACATTTTCTCCAGGAAGCTGAACCCAGGTTATACATTTTCCTCCCCAATTTTGTCTTTGCAAGAATCCTGTGAGGAAAAAAACATATAGAAAAAATAATATACAAAAAGGTTGTCACAACGTGAGTGAAAACTACTTTTGCACTTTTAACTGATTTAGAAGCAAATGAAGTATGTTAAGGAGAAAATGCCTTCAAAAACAGCTTCAACTAAGGATAGCGTGTCTCTTCTGAATGAATGCCTGGAGGAGGTAATGAGCTGGATGAGGAAAAACAAATTTAAACTGAATCCAGACAAGAGAGGTACTTGCCATCAAAGGTCCAGATCTGGAGATGGAAGTGTGTCAACCAGTCCTGGATGGTTACTCCAACCAGTGAGAACCTGACTGGTGACCGTCACCCGGAGACCTATTTAATTGGCCACCTCAAGTCTGCGAAACGACTTTCCGGAAGAGCTCCAACAGCTAAAAGTGCTGTTGGAATTTAAAAACCATCTAAATGCCTAAAGGCTTCTGGCAGGCCTACCCAGTTTTTAAAAATGAATTTAAAATATGTCCTTTGTTTAAACTCTGTTTTGTGAATTTTATTTTATAAAAATAGGTTTTAATATGTATCTTTTATAGAAATAAATTTAAATATGTATATTTGTGGATTTTTACAATATTTGTGTGGTTAATTATTCTGTAACCCGCCTCAAGCCACAAGGAAAGGTAAGAAATAAAATTATTATTATTATTATTATTATTATTATTATTATTATTATTAAAAATAGAAACTGAAAATGAGAAACTGGGACATTTTAGAGAATTATTTTAGATTCCCTCTATTAAATCAGGGCAGTTGAAGAAAATATGACTTTTTCCAAGTGGGGCTAGAAAGGACATGGCACTTGCTACATAGGTTCAGGCAGCTAAATAAATTGAATGAGTCATGTGTATTTATGTATACATGAAAGAAAGCTTCATTTTAACATTTTCCTTTTCAGATACAGGTGTGGGATACAGCTGGCCAAGAACGCTTCCGGACAATAACCCAAAGTTATTATCGTAGTGCCCATGGGGCTATCCTTGCCTATGATATGACCAGACAGTCCACTTTTGAATCTATTCCTCATTGGATTCATGAGATTGAAAAATTTGGTGCTGCTAATCTGGTTCTAATGTTGATTGGTAAGTGCTGAAGTCTAATATCCAGAGTAAACATTGCCATAGTTCTGCCTTCCCCAACACAATGGCCAGAAAACCAAAAGATCAGGCTTGGCTCTATTGTTAAGGAAAGTGTAACAATAGCCTGAGATTGCAGCTGCTGAGAAGTTATTGGAGGAGGGCAGCAAAGTGAGTGGCATAAAATCTGTCCTACACTCACTCACATAACTTCCCGAAGAATCTGGAAAACTGTTAGCAGGGAGAATTAGGGAGTAGTAATAAAAACCTAACTCTTACAAGCTCTGTGAAGAACTCTGTCTCATCAGCTGAAACTAGAATCCACTGTTGCTCCAGTTGGCTAGAATGGTAGGGCTTCCCTTTTATCCTTTGCTTCATGTAGTAGGATAGGAGACCCTGGTGGCGCAATGGGTTAAACCCTTGTGCTGGCAGGATGGCTGACAGACAGGTCAGCAACAAGAATCCAGGGAGAGCGGGTTGAGCTCCCTCTGTCACCACCAGCTTGCCATGTGGGGACATGAGAAAAGCCTCCCACAATTATGGTAAAACATCAAAACATCCGGGCATCTCCCTGGGCAACATCCTTGCAGATGGCCAATTCTCTCACACCAGAAGCAACTTGCAAGTCAAGACACTCCTGACACACACACAAAACCCCAACCTTAATCCCACATTTACTGAATACATTTTATGGAGTTAATGGCATTTCTTGATCTCATTTACATATGGCAAGACTTTTTGGTATGGTCTCTCCTGACACACATGCACACACACAAAACCAAAATGTAGCAGGATGTTTTCAGTTGGATTTGGAAAAAGACTTTGAAGAACTTGTACACAAACTCAAGGAGAGCTTTTTTTCTCAATTGTGAGAACACTTACTAGAAGGTGTATGTTGTTGAATGTTATATTGGATAATTCTAATCCAAACTGTTTTAGAAGAATAATCCTAGGGCATTTAGAATTTTAAATACTTCACCAATCCAGATGTTTAATTTAACCAACCAAACACAGGGATTGTTGGAAGTCTTCGAAATGCTGACTTTTAAACAATTCACTAATCTGGAAACAAAGACATTAAGGAAGAGAAGAAAGGGTACATTTTGAGCAAAACAGCTACTACGACAATACTGTTGACACTAGATGGCTTTCTTGCTTGTTTTTATTATGTTGCCTTTGTTCCAAGAAATTCAAAGAGAAAGACATGATGATGCTCTGTACTTTTATCCTCTCAGCAATCTCTATTTAGTCACACAGAGAGAAAGTGACTGGCCTCAAGGTCTGCCAGTGAACGTCATCAACAAGGGGGATTCAAACCCAGGTCATTCCAGTCCTAGTTCAACACTAATCCGTGGATCGGAATCATGCAACCATCCATTTGGACTAGTAACTCCCACCATTTCTCACCATTGACTGAGTGGCTAAGCTGGTGGTGGCTGCAGCCCAACAACATCTGGTGGTTGCATAATTTCCATCCCTACTCTAATCATTACACTTAGTTCTTTATAGTAATCACGTTTTATTTGATACCATTAACAGGTGTTTATGTGTTATGACATGAACTGCCTTGTCAATGAGGCTCTTGAGTCTGGTTCATCATTGTCTTGCTAACTTAATTTGTCTGCAATGTTATTGGAAGTCTGAAATGTTTCTAATCCAATTCAAAGGGAACAAGGCGGATGAAGCAGACAAGAGGCAAGTGCTGTTTGAAGATGCTTGCACGCTAGCTGAGAAGCATGGGCTTTTAGCTGTGTTGGAAACGTCAGCCAAGGAGGCCCAAAACGTTGACGAGGTCTTCACACTGATGGCCAAAGAGCTGATAGCCAGGAATACCTTACAGCTCCATGGAGAGAGCAGTCCTCTCGAGAACATCCATTTGGACACCCGACCAATAATAGCCAGTCAGGCTGAGAGCTCCAGTTGCTCCTGTTGATGAAATGCTCTGTGGGGGGAAATACCACTAGCATATTTCCAGAGGCCTACACTAACATAAGAAGATTCTTCCTTCTAGCCTTGCGTTTGCTGTATTTTTCAACCATACAGTTTTGGCATAATGCCTTTCTCCTGAAGCAAACACTTCTTTTTCTTTTGATGGTCCAAGAAGGTTGCAGTGGCCTTTGTCTCAATGCAACTTTTCAGCTGAAGAGGAAAACGTCTGTTGGAAACTGTGAGAAACTATCCTTGGAAAAGAACAATGGATCCCTCTGACAGAAGCAGGTGGATGTTTTTCAGCCTCCGTTAAGAGCTGTCCTGTTCGGTTTCTACTGGTTTCCTCCAGTGACAATGGAGAAAATTAGAAGTTTAGCTCTTAGATATTGTGACGTATTTCTTTTATATTATAGTTCAAAGGGTTACTGATGTCAATTGATGAAACTAATGTGGTTAAATATTAAATAGCAGTTTTGAATGTCTGCAGTTGATTTTTACTGGCTTGTCAGTTGACGTAGGATTTACTCTACCTCCAGAAGCTAGTGATTATGGGGGACTTAATGCATGTGTTCTACTTTGTTTTCCTGTTCTGACTTTGTACAGTCCCAGCACTAGAAGTGAATGTCTGTGATGGTAAAGTTTTATTTTCTTTGAAATTAAAACACTTGACTGATGTTATTAAATCTGAATTTAATAACCTATAAAGATTGCAAACCACAAAAGGGATCAACATTTAGAAATACTGAAAAGGCAGCTGCCAAGATGACTGTTTGTTGCAGATGCAAGAGAACTTGAGGCATGGAAATGACACATCATAACAGGCTGTGTTACCTGTAATATGTTACTTTCTGAGATGACAGGAACATAATTATTGCCCCACCAGACTGCAAAAACAACTGACAAGTTTGTGTTTCCAGTATAATAAGCAATGTTTAGTTCTTACCCCAGAACATTGTTTTTGAGGATTTGTTTGATCATTCTTGTGTTTTAAAGTGCCTTTTTAAAAAATTTAAATGGTGATTAACAGGACTCACTTTAAAAAATCACAAGTAACACATTACTACTTAACATAACACTCCAAACACTGTAGCAACTGATTTTCCCATGCTAGAGTAATGGCTTTTAATATTATCTGTATGAGTGTAGGATGTTTTCTGCACCCATTATTTTGAAAAATGTTGTGAAATGCTTGTACAGATTTTGATGCTAGACATTCATGGAAAGGTGGTGCATGCTTTTCTTTGTTAATGGAAGGGATAAATCTTGTTCATGGTGGGTTCAATCCAGACAGTCGTACTTGCAATAAAATCTTTTAATCGTGTTAGCCATGACTAAATTGAATCTTTTGACTTCTTTTGACTTCTGGCCAGTCTTCTAGTTCTTGGTTGTTTGCTATTTCCTCTGTTTTGCACACTCTGGGAAGCTTTTGTTGTTTATTCGTTCAGTCACTTCGGACTCTTTGTGACCTCATGGACCAGCCCACACCAGAGCTCCATGTTTGTTGTCTTCACACCCAGCTCCTTCAAGGTCAAACCAGTGACTTCAAGGATAACATCCATTCATCTTGCCCTTAGTTGGCCCCCTTTCTCCTTCCATTTTCCCCAGCATCATGATTTTTTCTAAGCTTTCCTGTCTTCTCATTATGTGGCCAAAGTACTTCATCTTTGCCTCTAATATCCTTCCCTCCAGTTGGACATAATTTTCTGGAGTATGCACTGGTTGATCTTCTCATGGTCTAAGTCATTCTCAGAATTTTCCTCCAACACCACAGTTCAAAAGTGTCTATCTTCCTTTGTTCAGTCTTCCTTATGGTCCAGCTATTGCATCCATAGGTTACTCCAGGGAATACCATTGCTTTAACTATGTGGACCTTCATTGCCAGTGTGATGTGTCTACTTTTCACTATTTTATTGAGATTGGTCATTGCTTTCCTCCCATGAAATAAACGTCTTCTGAGTTCTGGGAAGCTAAGTAATTGGAAATAATTCTACTAATAACGAAATAATTCTACTAGTAACTAATAACCTTTTATACAGGAAGGGGAGTCCCTCTTTATGCATGGGATTTTTATTATTATGAAGCCAGTTGGCAGGCATCTTAAAGACATGAAGCAAAGGCTTAAATATTCAGCCACACTCAAATTTGGTTTGCTCAGTCCGGAATCATCTTCAGCATGGAATGTTTATTGTACACTGTTCCTGACTCTAGATGTTTGTGATTTAAGCAAACGTGTACTATTACTCATTCCTTTCAAGAGAAAAAAAAGAAAAAAAGGAAATTTGTTACTCCAATATTCAAAAGCTCAACAAAGTGAAGGAATGCCTTTAACTTGTATTGATCTGCTGTGATACAGCAGCTCTTCTTTTAGGAGCCCTCGGTGGTGCAATGGGTTAAAATCTTGTGCCAGCAGGACTGAAGACCGACAGGTCAGAGGTTTGAAACCCATGAGCGCAGATGAGCTCCCTCTGTCAGCTTCAGCTCCCCATGTGGGAACATGAGAGAAGCCTCCCACAAGGATGGTAAAACATTAAAACATCTGGGCATCGTTCTTGCAGACAGCCAATTCTCTCACACCTGACATGGAAAAAAAGCTCTTCTTTTTATGAGATGTATCTTACAAAGGGCCCTCCTGTGGATTAAACTGCTGAACTTGCTGACCAAAAGGTTGGTAGTTCAAATCTGGGGAGGGGGGTGAGCTCCTTCTGTTAGCCCCACCTTCTGTCGACCTAGCAGTTCGAAAACATGCAAATGTGAAATCCAATAGGTACTGCTTCTGTGGGAAGGTAACAGCACTCCATGCAGTCATGCTGGCCACATGACCTTGGAGGTGTCTATGGACAATGCTGGCTCTTCAGCTTAGAAATGGAGAAGAGAATTACTCTAGACTTAATGTCAGGGGAAACATTTACCTTTACTATCTTATAAAGAGAAGGTGCAATTTTGGTTGTAGCTGAGTTCTGTTACTACTGCAGCAGTATTGTTGAGGGAGTTGAACTAGACACAAGTATTTTCAATTGCTATCTAGAAATCGCCATGGGATGGCTGTTCTTGCAGAAGTCCAAATACTTAGAATTACATCCCCATTACTTTCTAAACTGGTAGCAAAAAATGTCCACAACATTGTTTTTAAAAGCATTTAACATAAAGCTTTGATAAAGCAATTGGAGAAGAATATCATATTTAAAGCAGGGAGCATAACACCCCTCCTGAAAAACCCTCAGCAATTAGTTGTCAAATCATGCTTGAATAAAATAGTATTTGACTTTTAAAGAGCTTATTTTAAGTGCTACAACTAGTGATGAACATGAGCAACTGCCTTCTTCGACAGACCTTTGTGTCTGAAGCCGAATTCCTTCTAAACTTTATTTGGCTCCAGAATCAAGTAGCCAACTGAACAGCTGCCAGTTTTGCCATTCATTATAGAACTCTCCAAGCTTAGCGCTTGAGTTATTGCTGTTTCCCTTGGCTCTGAAATATCTTGGAGGTGTCGGGATTCCTCCCATACTACATTTGTTATGCTCCTGCCACACACAGATTAAACCATTTGGCACATCATCTGGGTTGGCACCAATGAACCTGACAATTGGAAGCAGGAAGTGACCATGCCTCACTGCACATACGTAGAAGGCATTTCCCAATTCACTTCAATGAAGTTCTCATGCAAGAGAGCAACCACGAAAGGCAGGGCACACGTTTCTTAAATGTGCACCGAGAATTCTTGACACAAGTAAATCAAATTGGATGCCCTGCCTCACTTTTGCCAGGATTCAGGCTGCACACTGGCTCAAATCTGCCACTGAAATCTACATTGATTATAATGGTTGCATTCTCTCCTTCAGCTCCACATGTTGCCTTCTAATTCTTGCTTAAAGGTCATCTATCAAGGTGTGTAGGACATCGGAGAAAAGCATTTAAAACAAATCCCTACAAAGGTGCTCCAAATATTGTATCCCAACAAACAAGTCATTTGCTAGTGACTGCCAGACCACCACCAGAAGCCAGACTTCTTTTTTTGGTCATGTTCTAAAAATTGCCATGTTCTTAAAATGTCTTTTCTTGTCCAAGTATTTTTAGCTTTTATTGTATCATGATCCCTACGACTTTAATCAAATTAACTCTACTCCTTTTGAAGTATAACTAACTTTTAGTTACTCTCCCAGTGGCGCAATGGGAGAGCTGTTCAGCAGTGGAACTCTCTACCCCAAAATGTGGTGGAGGCTCCTTCTATGGAGGCTTTTAAACAGAGGCTGGATGGCCATCTGTTGGAGGTGCTTCGAACGCAATTTTCCTGCTTCTTGGCGGGGGGTTGCACTGGATGGCCCACGAGGTCTCTTCCAATTCTATTATTGTAATGGGTTAAACTCTTGTGCCAGCAGGACTGAAGACCGACAGGTCAGAGGTTCGAGTCTGGGGAGAGTGCGGATGAGCTCCCTTTGTCAGCTCCAGTTCCACATGCAGGGACATGAGAGAAACCTCCCACAAGGTTGGTAAAACATCAAAAAACATTTGGGCATCCCCTGGGCAACGTCCTTGCAGACGACCAATTCTCTTACACCAGAAGTGACTTGCAGTTTATCAAGTTGCTCCTGACACGAAAAAGTCAATTTTTTTATAGTTACAGAGGCCTGATCTCACTACATGGTTATGATACTCTCGCATGGTTCAAGAGCTGTTTTATGATGTTACCTAGTTTTAAAAAAAAACACATGGAAACACCTATTTTAGCAAAATTGGTGTTAGTTCTAATATAGTAGTTATCTAAGCATTGTCTATGATTCTGGAGACTAGGGTGAAAATCCCTGCTGAGCCATGGAAACTTAATGACTGACTTTGATCAAGTCACACTCTTTCAGCCTCAGAAGAAAGCAATAGCAAACCTCATCTGAACAAATCTTGCCAAGGAAAACCTGTGTTATGTTAATCTTAGGGTTGCCATACATTGGAAACAACTTGGAGGCACACAATACACTTTTGGGGCAGCCCTGCGTCAGTAACTTAATTACTTTAAGAAAACTTTCCATGTTATGAGCCAACAATTGGAAGTGACTACAGTAGTTCCTTGGTGCAACTGCAAAGGTGAAGTAGTATTTTCCCCCCAAGATATTTTTCATCCCATTTTAAGAATAGAAATTGTAGACTGGCACAAGGGTAGATTGTAAATTCCAAACTTGAAAACAAATGTTCTTTTTTGCTTTTTTATTTGGGAAAAGTGCTTCTTACAAAAGGCAGCTGCAAAGTAACACAGACTTCAGCAACAATTTCTGATTCCATTTAAAAGTGAAAGGAGACACAATCTAAAGGACAGAAGCAGAACAGTTCAAAGACAATCCAGCAGCATTAAGTGTAATGGAAAGTTAAAATTCCATTAAGGGGGAAGGAAAGGGAAAAGGTGGTGGTGAGGGAGGAGGCTTTGGCAGCACCTGAATTTCTTTCTAGCAGAACTGGACGTTGGGTAAATTGTTTGGCTGTTTGTTCTAGGGATAAAGGAGTAACATGCACATTGTACAGCCAAGAGGAGTACAATCGTCTGAACTCAGGTATTCTGCAGGACAATTAGGGGCCTCTTCATCAAGACACAGAAGGGATATCACAGATGAAACTCTACTTGGTTACCACTAAAGATAAGTGAACACAGGGATCCCAATATGGTGGTGTCCTAACTAATAGTACAGTATAGTCTGAACCCTCTTTGGCTAACTATATGCTTATACCTGTGCAACTCAAAAATACTTAAAGGAGTAGAAAGTGGCTGGGACGGGAGGAGGAGAAGTGCCATGAAGAAAGGGCCTACTATCAAATTCTGTTAGCTAGTTTTACAGAACTGGCTGAGAGCCACAACATTTGCTTCAAAATCCAGCCGGGTATCAGACATCGTGCACTCAAGAAAAGTGTGCTCATAAAGTGGGCAAGGTGGGAGAAGAAAAAAGGGAGTGAAAAAGTGTAATACACACATATACTAAATTGCACAGTCCTTGGGATACAACTCTGCATTTTATTTGTATATACATACATAGAAAGTTCTCCTTTCACACACAAACACATTTGCCTTTCATGCCAAACAGTAAAAACCCGGAACATTCGCACCTGGTTCTGGTTACACAGTAGTAAATAGTAATGTGCAAGTAAACAAGAGGCCAAAACCACAAATGAACACATGAACATGAAGGTGGTGGTGAGGAGATTTGGAATGGAGCTGAAGCCAGTCCAGAAAACACACCGCTGGCCTGGTATTTGAAGTAGAAAAAAATTGCTTCCAAAGTCCATAGTGGAAAGAGGCCGTTGGCAGCTCACTTCTGTCCATCCCTCCGCCCCGCTCCCCCGGCACTGCATGAC